ATTCCATTAAGGAGGGGGCAATATACTAAACCAATAATATATTTCCAGCCTCTGAAATTCTCCTTGGTGCTGCTATCAATAAAATAAAAGAAGTTACTATTTAATAATTAAAAGGCAATCAATTACTCTTTTTTTTAATTACTCTTTTTCAAAGAAATGTCCAAATTGCATTAAAAATGAGTATCAAACCAACTCAAAATGTATTGACAAAGAATACTGTTTATTTAGCATCAACTATCAATTTTTCTTGGTTATAATCCTGACATGTTCCCTGATGGCATAGTATTCTGAGAAACTGCCATAAAATGAGAATCTAAGAAATGTGTTTGTATCTTTATAAGCAGTCCTGACAAGGTACCTGAGGATAAACACACTGATCTATTCTGTGTATCGCACTCATCTTTTTTTATTTTTTATTTTATTTTATTTTAAAAGATTTTATTTATTTATTCATAGAGACACAGAGAGAGAGGCAGAGACACAGGCAGAGGGAGAAGCAGGCTCCATGCAGAGAGCCCGACGCGGGACTCGATCCAGGGTCTCCAGGATCACGCCCTGGGCTGCAGGCGGCGCCAAACCGGGGCGCCACCGGGGCTGCCCCGCACTCATCTTTTTAACTGTTTTTGCCCCAACAATCATGCTGGATTTGTTCTGAAATATCCTCATCCTATTTCAAGTCGTTTTTGTAAACAAAGACAAACATGGGAAAAAATGGCTGGCTGAGAATAGCACTGCAGATGGCCACTGTGTATGGTCCAGCATTACGCATCTCCAGGAGTACTACATACATCATACATGGATTATGATGTAAATGCAACAACCCCAGAACCCCCAACCCGACCTGGAGTTGTGCAATGTTCACCACACCACTGGGTCTGTTCAGAACTAAATTGTAACTAAAATTAGTGATCTTTCCTCTCAGAAAAATGCAAAATTACTGAGCTCTAACTGATCCTAGAGAATGAAATCAATCCTAGACAACTGAAATATAAACTAATGTACATTAAAATAATATCCTCATCAAAATATTTACCAATACTAAAATATGCAGAGGGTGTTAGAAACACAACTATCTAAAATGACTCTACGCAGTAGGTCACAATTTCCCACCTCTGCATCCTTGTTTAATTGGCAGTAGGTTTTCTGGTAAAGGATTGAAAGCAATACCCACAATGATCTTACAGCACCCTCATGTGGATAAATATTTGACAATGTTTTTCTTAAAGAGATGTGTTAATCTGTGATATGAAAAATAAAAAGAGAAGGTGCTATAATCCTTTCAAACAAAGACTACTGGATGAGTGAACCCTTATCACAGTAGGTCTGAATTATTTCTCTAATAATAAGAATTAATTTTTGGCTGTCTAGCCATACTTGCCATTAGTATTCCTCCTTCTTCCCTGAGTTAACCCAGGGTGACTCCAAATATAACTCTGAATAGAACAAAGCTATTACCTTCTATGGAAGCAAAGCTGCCTCTTGTACCATATGCCTATGAATGAAACCAAGTGTCTCCATTATAGGAAAGAAAGTTCAGGGCTATCTTTAAAAGTTAACATAACCACAGATATTTTTAAAATAAAATAAGTCCATACATGTATATTTACAAACTATATCCTTAAAGAGCATGGTTTCAGCTGACCTTCTAGATGCGTGGCATGGTAGAAAGAGTACTAGATATATAGTAAGATAATGTGGATTCTAAAGTTAGTTTTTGAACAAATCTTAATCTTTCCATGTATCTGCTTAATTTTTTAAATGGCAGAGTAGAAACAGCAGAAGATACTTGTGGGTAGGTAGCTTCCCAGTACAGTCAAGATTCCTTTCGTTCCAAATCATAAATTTACTCAAGTTGGCTTTAGCAACAACAAAAAAGGATCTTTTAAGAAAAAAAAATTAGGAAAAAAATTGCTGAAAAATTAATGGGAGGAGTATTTATATACTCTTATGACCTTATCTGGGTCTACCCACTCTTTCCTGATACAAACATCTCATCCTTAACTCCAGATGAGGATAAAGCTTTCTGAAATCATTTACATCAGAATCAAGAACTAGAAAGAAACCTGTCTACAGGTTTTGTATATAGTCACACATATTTTGTGTAAGTCCTTCCCACACGGCAATATATGATTCTGAGATCCAGATAGACTTCATCTCTTACATATTGTGTCACCAGCAGCTCTGCATGTTATTTTGAGAAAATGGGGGGATCCAAGAAAAGCGACCTTGAAATATACTGCTTTGCCCTTGCTTTTTGTGGCTACTTTGCTCTGGCTAAGTGTTTATGTTCTTTGCTAAATAAATCAGAATTTATCTGTGTGCATGTGCGTGTGTGTGTGTGTATTTTCACACAGAGGATACAAGGGTCACTTCTCATGATACACATAATTAAAGTGTCCATAACTAAAATATCTCTACCTACTTCAATTTCACACTTGCTGTCTCCAGAACACGTTTTGCTTTTGCACATCTCTACTTCTTTAATTATATTGCTTCCTCCTCCTGGAAGGCACATACTTGCCTCCCCCTCTCCTCTCTTATCCCCATCAACTCCCACTACCTCATCCCCAAAAATAAGGGATCTAAGCAGACACTTAATAGGTGTCCATAACAATAGTACTTACTATGTGACACATTTCATTTTACGTCTAATCCTCTATTGGACTATGCACTGCTGAAGAATCAGAAGTTTTTTTCATCTTTGTATCTCCAGGGCCTAGAGAGTATTTATTAAAAGACATACATATGTGTTTACTTAATCATGGAATTGGATATCACAATAAAAATAGGCCCAGAATCCAGACACCAACGATCTGTCTTGAATTCTTTATCCTCTCTTCCTTCCCATATAGTCACTTGATTATTCATACTACTTAATCGGGGAAACTTATCAAAAAAGTTTTTAAAAGATTCTTTTAAAGGTCAAACCAGTCAACAAAAAAATCAAAACAAAAAGTGAAAGAAAATTGTTTTCTGTCTACATCCACCTTGAGAAATCCTGTATGTGAGACTAGTTTCTCCAAAATGAAATGCAAAACTAATTCCCTCACTTCCTCTCCTCACTCCCTCTAGTCCCATGTCAACCATCCTGTGCTCAGTCCCCTCCAAAGTCAAAGGATATCTATCCCAGCAGAAAACTAAGTCAAAACCATCTGTGACTATAAAAGGCTACTCCCATGCTGTGGGAGTACTTGGAAATTGAAGAATAAGGTTGCCTTTGGCATTTAACTACTATGACTGCCCAGCACCAATCAAAGATAGGACACAGCCTGAGTTTTGATTACACCTGCTTAAAGTTTTGTGGAGTTTTGTCCTCCCCACCACTACCATGTATATAGCAAGCATTCGATAAATTTCCCTCTTGATGAACACTGCTTACCCTCTAAAAGCAGCTACTTTCTCCTGTTTTCATGGCCATACTATAGCAATTTTGGATACTGAAGACACAGGGTGGTTGGAGTTTACTCTGGTGTTAAAATTAGGAAAACCCATAGACACATCCCATAGTGACAAAGGCTGTGCTACTCAAGAATGGCTTCACAAGTTGGCCTTCTTAGACTAAAGACCACTGTCTGGCATCTGGGTCTCAGACACGAGGCTTCTCAGTCCCTCCAGAGATAATTAGACCCTTAATAACAGATCAACTCTACCTAAAAATCACATAATTTACCAAAATGTCTATATAGTTCGTTTTGGGGGGTTGGCTTTCAGTGACAGCACCCTCTTTCCTAATAACAGCCATTCTCTAGAGCTGTTATTAGCTTAACACAAATCAGTCTGTAACACTGAGTACACTTTCCTGATGTGCTCACAGAAGCTGGAAATGTATTATCTTTTAAACTTGCATTCTTCCTTGTTGCATCTTCTCGGGTCTCAGTAAACTATTTGCCAGGACTTTTTTCACAAAATAGAGCTGAGGGATACACTATATCCTGGACTGGGCCTTCTATGCACGTGGCCGGAGAGGAGGAATAACTGCTACCACTTATTTTTGCTCTAGAGGGCTATACTAAACTATACATATTTAAGCATAGTGAAATAAAACCAAGCCATATTATCTCAAAATCAGAGGAGGTTAGGGCTCTGTGTTAAGTACACTTTTTCCAGCAATTGTGTCTGCAAAGATCTATTAAGACTGAGGTTGGAATCCTAACTTTAACCTTTTACCTGGTGGGTGACTTTGAGCAATTTATTGAGACCCTAGGGCCTGTTTCCTCAATCTCTAAAGTGAGAGTTTTCCGAGTTAAAACAGGTTCTCAAATCAATAACTAAGGGCAGCCTGGGTGGCCCAGCGGTTTAGCGCCACCTTCAGCCTGGGGTTGTGACCTTGGGGACCTGGGATCGAGTCCCAGGTCGCGCTCCCTGCAGGGGGCATGCTTCTCCCTCTGCCTATGTCTCTGCTCTCTCTCTCTCTCTATCTGTATCTGTCATGAATAAATAAATCTTAAAAAAAAAAAAACTAAGGAAGGAGGAAAGCCCAAATCACAATTATCTTTGCAATTCAGGTGAATTATCCAGAACTACATTATATAGACTTTAATGTACACAACACTACACAGTCAATCTTATGGGCACCAAGATTTTAGAAGCCACTTTAAATAAAGAAATAAAAAAAAAAAAACAATGCATACAGGCATATGTCCAGACATTAAAGCCATCCTGATTTTAAGCTAACCCTAAAAATCACTACAGTGAATGGAGTATGGATGGAGAACACAACTCCAGCGTTTAATGAGGGTCAGTCCCCTTTCTTTGTGGTTCTCACCCTGGCTCTGGTGCTTAGAAGCTCCTCACTAAATAGACGGATGAATTATTATTTAGCCGACATTAGAGCCCGGGTCATTTCAACGTAATACTAACGCCAGAGAAATTTTTAAAAAACACTTCTCGTACATCACTACCTCGGAGCCGGTAGGCAGCCCTCCCGCTCAGGAAATGCTTTAGCCCAGTGCTTCCGGTTTCCGTAGTCTCGCCCCATCTCGCGAGATCGAGGGCGAGATCGAGCTCCTCCGCGCAGCTCCCGCGCTCCGCCGCCTGAGGCGATCCGGGAGCACTTCCGGGAGCCGGTTGTGTTAAGGGTCTGCGATGTGTGCTTCCGGTGGCTTCCGGGCGGCTGCCGCGGCCCCCGGGACCGCCGAGCTGAAGTAGTGGGTGCGCGGGGAGGCGGGGCGGTGGGCCCAGCAGCCCACGCGTCGCGGGGTCCGGCAATCTCTAGCCATGGACCGGGACCTTCTGCGGCAGTCCCTGAACTACCACGGGCCGTCACTGCTCTCCCTGCTGCGGAGCGAGCAGCAGGACAACCCACACTTCCGGAGCCTCCTGGGGTCGGCGGCCGAGCCGGGCCGGGGTCCGCCGCCTCAGCAGCAGTTACAGGGCAGGTAAGGGGGCGGCGGCGCCGCTGCGAGACGGGGGAGGGGACGCAGGTTGGGGGCCCCGCTGGCGCCGCCGGGTGGCGAGTGGAGAAGGCGCAGGGCCGCGGCCGCGAGCCGCGGAGGGTCTTCGCCCGGTGCGAGGGCAAGGGGAGGGTGAGGGCCGAACCTTTTCTGTGGTACTGCCTGAGGCGCTGAGTCTTCAGCCCGCATCCCTTGGGCTTCGTCGTCGGGAGCTGCGGGACTGTCATTTTTAACTTTGCTTGCCCTCCACCTCCATGATGGCGAATGACGGATTCCCTGATTAAAACTTTTTCTCAGAGGATGTACGGCCCGGAGCTTAGGATGGACGCGATTGGGCCCCGAGAGCCGTGAGCTTAAGCTTGGACCTACCTGGAAAGGTTTTGCCCATAAACCAGTTTTCATAAATTTTGTTTCCTTTTAAGAAAAGAGAAGAGAGTTGACAACATTGAAATACAGAAATTCATTTCCAAAAAAGCAGATTTGCTTTTTGCACTTTCCTGGAAATCGGATGCGCCTGTAACTTCTGAAGTCAATGAAGACAACGAAGGTGAGTTTTATTAAAATATTTTGATTGCGCTTTGGGTTATTTCACTGCACCTGAGATGAAGCAAGGCGCAATTTTGTTTTGTTTTTGTTTCAGATGGTTATGCAGTCATGCCGCCGTTAGAGCAGTTCATGGAAATACCTAGTATGGACCGGAGAGAGCTGTTTTTCCGAGATATTGAGCGTGGTGATATAGTGATTGGAAGGATTAGTTCCATCCGGGAGTTTGGGTTTTTCATGGTGTTGATTTGTTTAGGCAGTGGCATCATAAGAGATATATCCCACTTAGAAATCACAGTAAGTTACTTTTCAGCTGTTTGTTTGCTTCTGTTTTTGGTAGGAGTCCTCTCAGTGCAAGAATTAGGTCTTTGCATCCACTTGGGCTTAGGTGTACCCTGCTGACATAGTTTTGAGAAATAAATATTAACTGCAGAAAAATAAAGGACTTTTTAAAAAATTATTAGTGGTGATAAACTTACATAGTTACCTCCTTTATTTCTGGTTTTGTGGGGTTTGCTTGGTCCCTTTGGTTGGCGGGTATAGAGTCCTATTTTAAATGCTCGGAGAGATACCAGTGGATATGGTGAGATTGGTATTGCAGGCTTATTTCTTCTAGCTGCACGTGTTCTTATTTAGTGTTTGGAGTTAGATACCTGCATGTGGATAATTTAGAAACAAATTCCTTATTTTTATATTTACAACAGTTAAATGTAAATGATTTCTTCATGTACATTATATTAAAAGATACTTTGCCCAAGATGAATTGTCTTGAATTTGAAATAGTGTGTTAATTTAAAAGGTTTGGTATTTGAGTTGCTTATAATTAAAATCCTTGTTTAAATTTAGATTTTAAAGGGCTCGTTTTTAACATTCATGTAAACTATTAGCTGATTATACTGAACAAGTAAGGTAAAAAAATGTTACTTCTCACGAAAGAATGGAATGCGTGGTGTCTTAAAATACTTCTCATTGCAGGCTCTTTGTCCGTTAAGAGATGTACCTTCTCACAGTAACCACGGGGATCCTTTATCATATTACCAAACTGGTGACATTATTCGAGGTGATCAGTTTCATCATACTGATAAAAAAAAAAAGTAACAGTTGTCAGATTTTTGTTTATATTAATTTTCGAAATTACCTAATGAGAATAGTGTTTGGATTTATGTATTTTCATGTTAGTTTGTGTTTTCTTGTTAATCAGCTTAGTTTCCTTATTTTTTTAAGCTGGAATCAAAGATATTGACAGATACCATGAAAAGCTTGCAGTGTCTCTATATAGCTCATCTCTTCCACCACATCTATCTGGTATTAAATTGGGTGTAATTAGTTCTGAAGAGCTTCCTTTATACTACAGGTAATCTATCTACATTATTTAAAGAAGTTAATTGTAAACAGTTTCTTGATTTAAAAAATAGTAAATTGTGTCCAAATTATGATGAGGTAGAAAATTAATTTCTCTTATCTCAAAATATGCTCGTTTTATTTTTATAGACCTTAAGTAAAAGAAACCAAAATAATATTACCACACCTTCATGTATAAAAATGATGAGTATTTCTTTAATAGAAATGGGATATGCTAATCACATTAAGTCATTTTTATATTTTTGTTGGTTTTTTTTTTTTTTTAAAGGAGAAGTGTTGAACTAAATAGCAATTCTTTGGAATCCTATGAAAATATCATGCAGAGTTCCTTGGGATTTGTTAATCCCGGAGTAGTTGAACTCCTTCTAGGAAAACTAGGAATAGACGAATCTAATCCACCATCTTTAATGAGAGGCCTACAAAGGTATAGTAAATTTACTGTTATTAAGTGGTGAGGTAAATGGTGCTGAGCTTAAAAGCTATCTAACCGAGGGACATATTTGACTGTTCTAAGCCTGGTGGCAGCAGTATGCCAAAGTGAATGAACTAGGTGATCCCATTTCCTTCTGTAATGGAGTCTGTTGTGATTATATGTGTAGAGAAAGACACAGAAAGCTTCTAAGAATTTTATGTTAAAAATACTGTTTAACAATAATAATAATTCTTGGCATTTTAAGAATTTTTTTTTTTTTTTTGTAAGAGAGGGATATAAACATTAACAGAAAAAAACTATGGGTTGATGGAGGGAAGGTTGGTGGAGGATGGGCTAAATGGGTGATAGGTATTAAAGAGGGCACTTGTGTTAGGACGCTTGTGTTGAGTACTGCCTATTATACGTCAGTGATGAATCACTAAATTCTCCTGAAACTGATATTCCGCTATATGTTACCTAACTATATCTTAAATAAAAACTTGAAAAAAAATATTCTTTTGTAGATGGAATATAAATTTCTTACCTGGGATTTACTTTTTCAGTGTTGAAAAGTGTGTCAGTGTTCACTCTGTCAGAGTGAAGTATTATTACCCCCCCAAAAAAAGTATATAGTTTGACTTTTATTTTCTTTGAATAGCAAAAACTTCTCTGAAGATGATTTTGCTTCTGCATTAAGAAAGAAACAGTCTGCATCTTGGGCTTTAAAATGGTATGAAAATTTGTCTTTCAACAATTGCATTATCTAGTCTAAAGGTTAGGATAAGGCAAGCATTCTTAAGTCATTCTTTGGTCTTTAGTCATCCTTAAGACCAAATTTGTTTGCAAATAAATTAAAATGATGCGTTTTTTAGCGTTTTTACAGGTGTAAATGATGTTATGTTGTAAACTTAACAGACTTGTGTTAACCAGCATTTTCCATGTTTTTCAAAAGGAATTAGTATATTGATATATGGATTTCATAAATATTTGTTGCAGAATTATCCAAAGGCAGTATTACTTCCTAGGTATATTGAGATTATTGAAGACTAAATATTAGTCACATTAGATATGTTTTAAAAATTTATCCATGCTAGGAGAGCCTGGGTGGTTCAGTGGTTGAGCATTTGCCTTTGGCTCAGGTCATGATCCTGGGTTCCTAGGATCGAGTTCCGCATCAGACTCCCCACAGGGAGCCTGCTTCTACTGTCTGTGTCTCTGCCTATGTCTCTGCCTCTCTCTCTCTGTGTCTCTCATGAATAAATAAAATCTGTAACGATAACAAAAAATTTGTCCATGCTAACATTCTATCTGGATATTCTGAGAAGTGCATGATGCTTTCCAAATGTCTTTTTAGTGTGAAGATTGGAGTTGATTATTTTAAGGTTGGACGCCATGTAGATGCTATGAATGAATACAATAAGGCTCTGGAAATAGACAAACAAAATGTGGAAGCTTTGGTAGCTCGTGGAGCATTGTAAGTGAATCTTGCTTTTAAGGAATATTGATGAGGTAAATGTGTACAAGATTTATGAATTGCTCACAAGATAAATTCTTCTAATTTATTTCATATCTCTAGATACGCAACAAAAGGAAGTCTGAACAAAGCAATAGAAGATTTTGAGCTTGCATTGGAAAACTGTCCAACTCATAGGAATGCAAGAAAATACCTCTGCCAGACACTTGTAGAAAGAGGAGGGCAGTATGTATCAGATTTTGTTTAAAATTAGAGATCTAATATTCAACCACCTACTATAAATAAAATCTTGAACTTAAGGAAATAGCATCTTTAACTCAATTCAAAACACTCTTAGTTTCAATTTTGGTTGAAATTGTTTTTTAAATATAGTCCTCTTTAAGCTTTTAGGTTTTTTTGTTTTTTCCCCTTAGTACTGAGGTTCTTTATGATTGGAAGTTGAGTTCATTGTTCTGAACATCTATTCTCGTTATAGAAATATAAATGTAAGGGTCCAAGAAATTAAGTATTTTTTCCTGGATGTACTAATTCTTCATTCTATTAGCTTAATGCCAGAAATATGAATTGGGAGTTCTATAGTTGTGAATATTTTGCTGTTACATAATTGCTCTGTTCTGTGCAGTAAAATCCACAAATGCAGATTAAATGGAAGAGTAAATCATTAAGAACAAACCCTGCAACTTATGTTACTATCCTGAGATGCTGGCATAATACCTGTCATAGTAGTTAGTTGTATCATAAATACTTAATGATTAACAGGCTAGTCTAATTTATAAAGTATTGTGAAAAAACAGTATTCCTATATAAATGATTTTTAGTAATAGCTTGCTCTAATAATAAAAACCAATTTATAACAATAGCATCTTTATGCAACTAATTTTTTAAATAGAATTATCATTTTTTTTCATAAATCTGCTTAATTATTCCAGTTTGTATGATCATTCCGGAATTCCAAATTAAGGAGTTTTGCAAAATTTGTTTTTAACTCAAGAACTTCTGTTTAGACCCAAGTAACTGGTGCAACATTTTACTTTCTCACTAAGTAGTTACTAAGATATGGCTGTCTTACTACCCACATACTGGTGTCTTCTGGCTGAGTGGATGGCAACATCATCTATATGTTATCCAAGCTGGAAATGTTTTTTGGTTTTTTTGTTTGTTTTTAAGATTTATTTATTTGACAGCACACGTGTGCACAAGCAGGGGAAGTGGAAGAGGGAGAAGCAGGGAGCCGGATGTGGGGTTCTGTCCCAGGACTCTGGGATCACAACCTAAGCAGAATGCAGACTGTCAACCAACCCGCCACCCAGGCCCCCCCAAGCTAGAAATGTTGATAGCCTTCAGTGGATCCCTTACTGCCTATATCCAGTCTGACAGAAAAGTGATTCCATTGAAGCCATTGGGTTTTTGTGGGGTTGTGTCTTTTTTTCATGTTTGACCTTTTTTTTTTTCTACTTTCAGAAAACAAAATATTGTACAAATCCTTTTCTGCTCTGTATCCAGACTTCCTCATTCTGATTATTCATAGCATAGACATTAATGAGTTTCATCTAATAATTCCAGCCAGTTGTGATATACATGTATCTGTTGGTATTTCCAACCTTGTCCATAAATTTTCTGGGAAAATTTTCTGTAGAAAGGATAATTATTCATAAACTATAGGAGAAACTTGGGATGCCTGGATGGCTCAGCAGTTGAGCATCTGCCTTTTCTGCTCAGGGCGTGATCCCGGGATCTAGGATCAAGTCCTGCATCGGGATCCTTGCAAGGAATCTGCTTCTCCCTCTGCCTGTGTCTCTGCCTCTCTCTGTGTGTCTTTCATGAATAAATAAATAAAATCTTAAAAAAAAAAACATATATAGGAGAAGCCAATCTGTAATTCTGTGCTAAAGCTCAAGATTATACTAAATTTAGAGAAGATATTGGCTAGCCATGTTTTCATGTATCATACTAAAATCCCAATACTGGACATACAATATGGCTATAGTTGCCAAAAATGAATTCATACTTTTTTGTTGTTTTTGTATTTAATTGAGACATAATTGACATAAAACAGATGGAGATGTACAACATAATGATTTGGTGTATGTTTATATTGCAAAATGATTTCCACAACATTTGGTTAACGTCCATCATCAGTTACAGTTTTTCTTGTGCAAAATTTTAAGATCTATTCTCTTAGCCATATTCAAATATGCAGTACAGTATTACTATAATCACCATGCTGTACGTTACATGTCTAGGACTTAGACCTTTTAACTGGAAGATTGTACATTTTGACCACCTTCACCCATTTTGCCAGCACCCTCCCAACCCCACACAACTACCAATCTGTTCTCTGTACACGTGAGTTTATAGTTTTTGTTTTGTGTTGCCTTTTTACCAGAGAAATAGCATTAATAAGCACATGATTTAGGTACTGCTCAATTTGGAAAATGTTGCCAAATATGGTTTTTCTCTAATAAGTTCTCATAAGCATCTGAACCATATGCATATTTGAGGATTTTTTTTTTTTATGAAAACAAAAAAATGTTTCAAATTTAGGTTGGAAGAAGAAGAAAAGTTTTTAAATGCTGAAAGTTACTACAAGAAAGCTTTGGCTTTGGATGAGACTTTTAAAGAGGCAGAGGATGCTTTGCAGAAGCTTCATAAATATATGCAGGTGATTCTTTATTTCCTCTTAGAAATTTAGTGATGTTTGAAACTGATGCTAAAACTTAACTTTCTTATAGGGAATACTATTCTAGATTACTTAGTCAAGGCATTATGAAAACTGTCTTTAGACAGTTTTTAGATACAGCTTTTCCTAATTGGGTTTAACATCACGTCATAGTGCCTTTTCTTTTTTGTTGGTACTCAGAAGTAAAAATAGTTTTATGAGAAAATTCCTACTGCCTACATGTGATATGTGATTTTGAGAAATGTCCTTATAGTGAGCTTTCCTGGTGGTTACAAATTCAGTGTTGGTATAATTGAGCTAATTATAAAAACCTCTTTGAGAAATATTTTAAACTGCCTTTTCCTGTAATACTGATGATGATGTTTTCTCATGCATTTTCTTCTGAATTGGACCATTGCTGCTGTGTCTGTGACATCTGGTGCTGCTCATCCCCATCCTCAAACTGGAAAATGATTTCTTACGTAATCATGCATCCAACTGGGCTGTGCTATTTTTTAAATGGTTTGTATTTGAACATGGTGATTCCTCCCTCAACTCACCTTAATGGAATTTATTTGAATTTTATTTATAAAATTTGTGTCCTGTCTAAATTTTTCAATTTTTTAAAAAATAATTTTTCATGTATTTTGTTATGTATTTTTTTTCCCCTCTCCTGCACTCTGGGTCACGGGTACCAATGCAATGGCTTCCCCTTTTTTCATGGAATACCAACTGCAATATGGTCCTCAATGCTCTTCTGGCTATTCCAATGATTAATGCCAAACACTTGTATGATTAATTTTTACATGTTAAAAATATTTAATGCTGGATATGTGGTGATTTGGGTATACCCCGTTTGGTTTCTGGTTGGGGGGGGTGGTCTTTTGAAAACTGGGTTTTATATATTCTGCTATTTTTAACGTGTGGTTTTTTCCGATATCTGGGTTCTAAAAGAAATCTTTGGAATTAAGAGAAAAACAAGCTGAAAAGGAAGAAAAGCAGAAAACAAAGAAAATAGAAACAAGTGCAGAAAAGTTGCGTAAGCTCTTAAAAGAGGAGAAAAGGTAAACTATAATATTCAGTATATTTTAACTTAAAGCAACTACTGAGTTGAACCAAAGTGCCATGTGGAGGTAAAGTAAGTAGAAAAAAAAAAAAATATATATATATATAGAATCACAATCAGTGGTACTTTGTAAGTATGTGTATTACAAATTTTTCTTTAAAAGAAATTAAGTGGCATCTAAAGATAGAATTCAAAAACAAAGATCTTAGAATTAAAATATATAATAAATTGTTTTAATTATCTATATTTTAGAGAGAAATGTTTTAGAATTGGAACAGTGGTTCTCAACTAGGGGGTGGCTTTGTTCCCCCAAGGACATTTTTGGCCTCCATAACTGATGGAGTAGTACTAACATCTAGCGGGTAGAGGTCAGAGATGCTGCAAAATATCCTACAGTGATATTGTAGGATACTCCCCTATTGTCATACTCCCCTATTGTAAAGAATTATTCAGGTGAAAATGTCAATAGTGCTGATGAGGAGAAACTATATATTAGAAGTAGCCAGATATAAAACTTCATTTTTCTCCTTTATGTGTTTAGATGGGCTTAAATTTTTTAGTGTTGGAAATGTGACTGTGTCTCCAGATATGATGGACTTGCTTTCAATGACAACTGTCTACACAGTATTTTTTCCCAAAAGTCATGCCTGGTGGTAGAATTGAATATTGTAGCTAACTAAAATTATTATAGTAATTGCTTATCTAAAAACAGCTTTTATGAAACCTTTCAAGAGAACAAAATAGAACTAAGAACTTTATAGATAATCAAGAAATGTTTTTGTACTTAACATATTTGATGGAATAACTGTTTTTTAGGCTAAAGAAGAAAAGAAGAAAATCAACTTCTTCCTCTTCAAGTGTTTCTTCTGCTGATGAATCTGATTCTTCTTCATCAACTTCTTCCTCTTCTGGTCACAAAAAGCATAAGAAACATAAGAAGAACCGTTCAGAGTCTTCTCGAAGTTCCAAAAGGCATTTAACTAAGGCCTCCTCAAGTCAGATAGATCAGAGTAGGAAAGATGAGTCCTTCCTAGTTCCATCCAATACTTTAGCATCTTTTCTTAACCAAAAACAAGAAGTGGAAAAACTATTGGAAAAGCAGGACAGGTTCCCATATCAAAAAAAACAGGTAAAAGAGAAAGATAGATGCTCTCTCTCTTCATCTTCAGTTGAAATTCCGGATGATTTTGGAGGTAGGTCTGAAGATCCAAGAGATTTTTACGCTCAGGCAAGTAGTAGCAAAACAGAAAAACCATATAAATCAGAAAAACATTTCTCCAGTAGAAGAGATTCCTCGGATTCCTTTTATAGGAATTCAGAGGACAAAGTAAAAATTTATGGTTATAGAAGATTTGAAAAAAATACAGAGGGAAAAAAAGAGCACCATAGGAGGTGGGAGCCAGGTTCTGCGAGGCGTTCCACTTCACCAGCAAGCTCAGACTACTCTTGTAAGTCAGTTGAAAAATCTAAAAAATACACTTATTCTGGATCACGTGATTTCAGTAGACATGAGCAAAGATATCAGTTAAATAAAAATCAAGGAGAATATGAAACAGAGGTTAATTATGAAGAGGACATTAAAACAGAGGTTCCAGAAACAGATGGACTAAATAGCAAAGAGCAGTCAGCAAGTGGAGTTAAAAAAAATTTACCTCAAAATTTACTCAATATATTTAATCAGATAGCTGCATTTGAGAAAGAAAAGGGAAATAAGCCAAAAAATTAATACATTGGAGAATCCGCACCATTACAAAAAAGGCCGTTAACTGAAAGTTTGGGTCTTCTAGTCCAGTGCAGAATCTCTGCTCCTAAAGCTATATTATTTGTAGAGATTGCAGAAAGCAGATGCTTTTTAGCTATTCTCAAAGTATATTTGTTTCAATCATGGGTCTCCTAACAGCTTGATTTTTTTTTTTTTTTAGGCTTTTCATGTGTATGTTTCTGTATAGTATTTCTTACTGTGATGATCTAAACCTCACCTAAAAATAATTCTCAAAGTATTGCTTCCTCACTGTATTATAGTGTATGAGAATCCCTTGGGTCCACTTTATCGTGCTGCTTGAGAGAAAATTAAATTTGTTCATTGAACACTTGGATTGTTTTCTTTAAAATTTATTTCATTGTCTTTTCTGTTAAATTGTCTTTCCCCTCAGCTTTTGAAAGGGATATACAGTAGTTGATTGTTCCTTACATACTGTTTTATATTGATTATTCATTTAAATACCAAATTTTTTTGTTACTTATAAGATTTATACAGAGTTACTGGTCTTTCCTAATTGACCTCTAAAACCTGATTTAATTAAAAATGGTTTGTGCTCCAGCTTAACAAGTACCTTAGGAATAAAGCCATGAAAGTTGAATAGGGGCCCATTTTGCTTATTTCTCTCTCTCTCTCTCTCTCTCTCTCCCCCCCCCACCTTTTTTTAGACCTATTGTTAGCAGTATAGCCCTAAGAAATTTCTTTACTTTAAATATTGGCAAGACCCTTAGAGACTATATATTCCAGGCAAGAAAAGATCAGAATAAAAAAGAATCCTCTTAGCAAAAACAGCAGTGGCAGGAGGATCACTGTAAATCTGGTTTTCCCCTAAAGGGAAAAAAATTGGGTAACTGTTCTAGTATTACATATGTCCAGTTGGGAGGTGCTTGCATGTTTTTAACTACCTAGAGCTGGCCTGCATTTCTTTTCTTAATATTCTCTCCTGATGTTTCCCTTGATGCCTCCTTTCTTAGGGCCTGAATAAATGACAAGGCCAACAAAGCCTGGTTTTACTCAAATTCCAGCAACTAGAGCTGAAGCAGTGACTTAGATCATAAAAACCCTCCCAAATTTAAAAACAGAAGTTGTTGATTTATAATGGTCTTTAGTTTAGAATCTTTCCATTTCCATTTACTGTAAATGACAACAGGCTTTTAATGCTGCCTCTCTAAATCCTCTATCTGGGTATGTCCTGTTTGTGCCTAAGGCCTTCAGGCTTCAGTGTTGGGAGCCTAGTGAAAAAACTAAAGATAGTTTTGCAATGGAACAGAAAGAAACTGGTCAAAAACCATGGGTAATAGCAGTAGAAAGGTCACTTAGTCGTTCATCTTTGTACCAAGAAACTCCTCTTAAAAGAGTCCTTGGTTCTTTCTGTGTATTAGTAGTTCCTGTATCATCCGTACATAGTCCTAGAGCATGGTTTTTGTAAACAGTGAAAAGTACCCTTGACGTAGTCTTTGACCTTTAGGAATTGCTGGTATATCTTCAGTATTTTACATATACCAATTTACGTACTAAAATCTCTGAGCACAAAAAAAAAAAATCTCTGAGCATCATTATCAACCAGCACTATCATTTTCCAAGGTGTCTTTGTGTTGTTGTTGTTGTTGTTGTTTTCTCTTTGTGGCTTAATGTTACATTCAGGTACCAAAAAGTTAGGATAGTACCTTATGCAGCTCGGCCTGAATTTAGGAATTCCGTCTTCCCTAAGTTTCTTGCCTGGGACATATTAAGCAGAGTATACAAACAAACCAGTTTCTAAGGAGGTATTCAGGAAACCCATCACAGCCAAAAAATATTGGGGATTTACTTACCAAGAATTGTTAGTAATTATTTTTAGCAGGCTTTTTTCCTTATTATGTCTATAGTTTTTACACACCCAGACTGTGTCTTGACTTTTGTAAGTAACTTTCTAAGATAATATGTGGATGTTTTAAGATAACTCTCCACATTTGGAGATAATGGGGTTGAGCCCTGTGTCTCCATTTAGCATTATTATACATCTGAGATTGGAACAGTTTATTTATTTAATAGAGTTAAATACAGACTTGTATGCTGGCCTAGAACCTAACCATTCCACAAATACTGTGCTAGCCTTTGAGTAGTGACTCAGTAATAGGTAGACGTTATTGTGCAGTTCCTATGTCAGGCTCTGTATACCTTGTATATATTTGGTTATTGGAAATAGGTACTGTCTCAGTATAAAATTAGGAGAAAAGCATAGAGAAGCAACTTGCCCAAGGTCATAGAGCTAGTCAGACAATCCCTGCCTCCATAGAACACAGTGTGTAATACTGAATTGCAAGTTCCAAGTAATTTACAAATAAAGGGCAGAGAATAAGAACCTTAGTGAACATACAAAGTGACCATAAAATTAATCATTTTTTTAGATCTTCTATCATGCATTTAAAGCTATGCTTTACAAAAAAAGTATCTTACTGAACTTGGCTATAACATTTGCTGGCTATTTTAAAAAACAATAAATATTTATGATCAGGAAAAACAAGTTTACTCCACTACTACATTTCAGAAGGAACTGTAAATGACACTTCTACACAATAACTGTTGATACAATTACTTTCAAGGTTTGAAGGAGATATACAGTTAAATACATAGATTGTGATACGTTTATTTAAAAGTTTTATAACATAATCATATTCCACACTGTATTCCAAGAGTTGAAAATGTTAGGCATATGTTCTATAATAACGTATTTAAGATAGTAACATTTTAAATCTGGTGGTCTTCCTCCACTATAAATTTATGGAATTCCTATTGCAAATCAAATCACACCTAGCTGTTTACTAAATCAGAAAATCTTGGGCGGGGGAAGTCTTAAAAATACATTCTTTGTGCTTGGTTGTATCTTGAAAACAAAATATTTAGTGTGTTTGACTTCTTTCAAGATCAAAATTGAGTAATTCCTAGAAATTTAAGCTGCAATTTTATTGATTGATTGCAGTGCACTTTCCTATTTTCTTGGGTGGGGAAGAATAAATGCTATTTTTTGGTTAAATATTTTTTGGGTTAGTTTTAGAATCATACCAAAAGAATAATAGACTTCTCCCCCAGAAGTCCAAGACACATGTTTCTTTGACTAAAGCAAACCTAATTTTAGGATTTTCTAGGGTAAATGAGAATTTGTGTTGTAAACTATTCACAGGACAAAATTTCCTGAAAGATTATGTTACCTTAGAATTGAGTGTGGTTTCATGGCTAGCGTGAGATGCTGTAGCAAACTATTTTCTAATCTAACAAACATCAAAATAACAGTGAAAAACCTCATTTTCTCTATGCTTGTAGAACATAGAATCTGAAGAATCTATTACTGCTTTTCTTCTCTGAAGAAAACAGTATGGCAAAAGCTTAAGAAAATTAAACATTTCTTTGGCTTATTTGGACCTAAATTGCTTGACTTTTTTAAACTCCATTTTCACATTTTCCACTAGGTTAAAACTTTTGTCTAGTTATTGCATATTTCTGACACAATTTCAGGGGGCCTCTCTTTAATGTCACTACACAGCACCCACAAGCATAGGGTGGAATTCACTATTTTAAAAGTAAGATTTTTGTTATTGTATTTACAACTTCTACAAAAGGGATTAAAATGTTTATTTGCTGCCCTTTTTGTTTTTACCATTACTGGGGATAGTGGTAGCACTTGCTGGCCTGGAAATGCTACCAGTCACTGAAGAGGAGGCTGGAAAGTTCAGCTCTAATACTTTAATTGAAGTCTGAGAGGCAACACTTGTGGTACTTCTGGATGACCTGCAGGAAAAGAAAAACACTATTTTAAATTTAACTCAAAATTTGTATTAGTAGAGACCCCCTCGCTAATGGCAAAAACAAACAAAAAACCACAGGGAATTAAAGAGATCAAAAAGTATATTAATAGTACTAAATTTGTAAAGCATAACCATTAAGTCAAAAAATTAGTTCAGAGAAAAAAGGTAATACAGAGTTTCAAATTAGTTCAGCAAATATATTTATGAGAAAAATATTTTCAACTATAATTTAGAAGTGGAATCCTTAAGCATTTAAAAGGTTTTGCAAAAAAATAAGCATAAAAGATTTTTTAAAAGGGGACCATGGGAATCTGGGTGCTGGCAAGAATGACTACAATAACAGGTTATGTAATCTAAGCTCAGGAAAAGAAAATGAGGCCTATTGACAGGATAAAGTGATGAGGTTATTTGAAAAGCATATAACTAGCTATACAATTCTGAAATACTAAGGTTTAAAAATATGAAAGTACAGCAAGCGTTCAGGTGACTGCTTACCATGTTTATGTAGAAACAGTTTTGTTTTACTTAAACATTTTAGGATGTCCCTTTATTTCTGAATGCTCTGAATGAATGGAATGGATGGCTACTGGATGTAGGAGATTGGGAATTTTAAAATTAGGATCATCATCAATAATTTTTGTCAGCAAAGCACAAGAGTGATTAAATATCTACCTGATAGAATTCTGCATATAAAACTAAACTGCAGGAGTAAATGATTTTCTTGTTAGCAAAATAAAGCAGCAAAAATGAAATAAAATTGTGACCACTTAAAACTTCATAATGTGGTTTTAATCATAAAAACCATACTCCATATGTCTGTACACTTAAGTTGCCTTTTTATGGTTTTAATTTACCCCGTATTGAGGGTTAATCATGCAGGATGTAACCTCCAAAACTTCACCCCACTTTATCCTACTGAAATAGCTGGAAGTCACAAAATACTCCATGCGCTAATAGAAACTGACCTCAGACAAATCAGAAAGAGTCTTGCTCTGCTGGCTGTTTGCTGTATACATGACACTAACATAGAAAGGTGGGTAAAGGTAAGGAGAGCACTGTGGAGGTATTTGCATAGGATAGAGAGTTAACGAGATGATTTTTAACCTTCCACTAACCTTGCTGATAACAGTGAAGTCTGTGAAGGAGACCTAGAACTCTGGCGACTGCCTTTAGTACCAGCTGTAGGTAGTTCTAAGCCATTCTGGAGGAATATTCAATAGCAATTATTAGTACCACTGCATTTTAGAATATTTTTAATTAGACTTCACTCTATGATAAATGCCATAAACTTTTATTAAGTTTTTAAAATATTTTAGCTAGAAGGTACCTGTTGAAAGTATGTTTGAAGGATAATACGGATCTCAGCATTTTCTTCTGTGACCTCAGCTAGCATCTCATCAATGATCTTGTGGAAATGTTTCACTTCACGAAGTTTGATGTCTTGTTCTTCTAGTGTTTCATCTTTTGTGTCTTTCAAAAGTCGGATCTCCTTGGTGAGTTTTGCACACTGTTTTTGGTCAACAGTAGTTAATCATTATTTATACCTATTTACCAGAACTTAGTATTTTTTAATGAATGAAGGAGGATTTGGAGTTATCATCTGGAACTCCAAAATACATAAATATGACAGGTCAGTTTTTAAAAAGACAGCAATACCTGTTTAGTTACTCTCTCTAACTTTGGCCTTTGCTCTTCAGTTTCTCTATTTAGTTGAGATGAATAAGCCTGCTTCTCTGATAATTTTTCTTTGACGTTATTTGTTAAATGTTCTATAACTTCTAAAGTATTTTCCATGCTCTGCAGAAAAAGTGTTAAAATACTTATTGGTTAGAATCAGTAACTTACAGCTTGCCATTTTTTTGTATATGTTGGTAGATAATAAGTACAATGGTTTTAATTTTTTTTAAAGATTGTATTCATTCATGAGAGACAGAGAGAGGCAGAGACATAGGCAGAGGGAGAAGCAGCTCCCTGCAGGGAGCATGTGGTACTCAATCCTGGGACCCCAGGATCACGCCCTGGGCCAAAGGCAGGCATTCAACCACTGAGCCATCCAAGTGATTAAATTTTGTATATAATTCCACTGGAAAGTATTTTTATGGGCAGGGGGATATAAATCAAACAATAGCTGTTAAAAGCATGTAATTTTCAAAGATTCAAATTTTATACCATTGGTTCCTTCAAACAGCCAAAAAAAAAAAAGATCTAAATGTTTACATAGAGCTTCCTAACCCAGTACATGGTTTTCTCTTTCAATGATGTGGTTTAGTAACTACTTTCTACTAAGTTATTTTTATCTTTCAAATTTTATTTAAGGAGCAATCTTTAAGGAATTAAATAAAAGTTCATTAAAAGTTACTGGATAGACCACAATTAGCTATGATTCATCAACTAATAAGTCATTATCAGTAGTCCATTCTGTGCTTAGTACTGTGATTTTAACTAATTTATTTAATATTTTGGTCATTTTTTCCCTTATTTTAATTAAATGAGACTTTTACTACTTTAAAAAATTTTCTTCTCTGTACAAGATAACAAGACAGTAGACTGATAATGACGACAGTTAACTTTTACTAAAGGCTTATTACTAAAGCCTGTAGAATATACCTGGATATCTTCCTGTAGTTCCCTGATTTGTCTTTGTTTGTATCTGTATTTTTCATCAATAGCTCTTTTTTGTTCTTCTAGTTGGATTTTTAGTTCATACTCATCACCTAGAATTAGAGAATTCTTAGTTTAAATTTTTAACATGTTATGTAGAAAGCAAGCTTAAAGCCTTACAAATATTAAACTTCTAACATATTGTTTTATAGAAAGGTTAAATTCCTTATATCTATTTGTTGAAAAACAGTATGAGCATGTAGTAGCCATTCTTGTTTTGTCAACATAGAGCAGCCAATGTGCTGCAATTTTCTTTACATTTGAAATTAATTCCCAGAGAAGTGATATGCAATATTGCTAGAACTAATAATGGAAACAACTTAGCCCTTATTTTAAAGGGAGGGAGGTTAGGGGGCCCCTGGCTGGCTCCGTCAGTAGAGCCCTGGTCTCTTGATCTTGGGGTTGTGAGTTTGAGCCCCACGTGGGGCACAGAGATACTTAAAAAATAAAAACGATAAAAAAAAGGGAGGGAGGTGATTTTCTGACTTAAACATGGTATATTTTTGTTTTCATGTCTCACAATGTTCCTCCTTAAAAAGAAGTACAACTTTAATTGCATATATTCATTAAAAAATTTTAACTCCTACATACTAGATGGAGTGATTTTTTGAAAAGATTGTTTGTAATTGTTGTTGCAGCTTCTCAACACTTGCAATGTATTTTCTAGAGCATAGATTTCTTTTTCAGCTTTGTTGATCTTAGCATCCAAACTGTCACCTTCCCTTTGAAGTTCTTCTTTTTCTTGAGCAGCCTATGAAACAGAATATAACTGATTGCACAGAAATATCATGGGAGAAAATAAAATGTCTGTTTCTAGGGCAGGAAATAGTTTATTCACAATACCAATTTACCTTGGGGCCCACATGCAGCATTAGGCATTTATTTCTCACACTTGATTTAGAGTAGAAGACTTACTCCCCGAGACCTTAAAAATCTAGTATGTAGGATACAAACTGATGGAAGTATAATAACTAACCAAAGCTTATTTTAACTTTCCAACAAAAATTACCAGAAAGCTAAAAAAGTCTAAACCTTGATGGGAAAAGTTAGGATTAACTAGGAGGTGGTTTCAAATTAGATCTGTTCAATAAGGAGAATGCAGGTTTCTGGCCTGAAAGAAGCTTAGGAACACTTTCCCATTTTAAGTCTTTAAGGAATAAAAGAGGTGAGCAAGGTACACCTAGGAAAGTAAATGCATATTATTTCCGACCCACTTATATTATTAGAACGAGGATTTCAGTATCTTTGAACAGTTAAGTAATATTAAAACTAAGGTACTCACTTCAATAGCACATACTAAAATTGGAACAAATAGAAAAAATTTAGTGTGGCACCTGCACAAGAATAACATGCCAATTTGTGAAACACTCCATATTTTTAAAAGGAGAAACTGCATGATTTCACTTACTGGAGATGCCTATAACAATGAAATTCTCAGACGGAAAGTAGCATGATGGTTGCCCAGGGTTGAGGAGAGGGAAAAATGAAGATTCAGTGTTTTATGCGTAGACAGATTCAGTTTTGGAAGATGAAAAAGTTGTGGAGATGGATGTTGGTGTTGGTTGCACAACAGTGGGAATGTACTTAATATCACAGAACTGCACAATTAAAAATTGTTATAATGAAAAAAATTGTTATAATGGCCAATTTTATGTATATTGTGCCACATTTAAAAATATTTTTTAATTAGAATTGTTAAATGTGGCTGGAAAAAATGCAATCTATAAACTTCTGAAACCCAAAAATTCTCAGTAGTGGGTATATTTTGATTTTTTACAGTTTAACTCCATCCCTGGGAGTACAAAAAGTTCGAAAGAGCTCCAATTAAATGTGGACAGGGATAGTATGGATATATATTTAAAAGTGTCAAACCCATTTTTTATCAAAATCAACTAATAATTTCATTTGGTAATTTATTCAACCCCTAGGTATGTGTATTTAAACCAGAAATGTGGCCATTTGAAATGTTTTATTGGTAACTGTTAATCTCAACATTTTCACTGGTATTTATTATGCTTCAAAATATGGTACACATTTTTTGTAATAAATTGTAATAAAAAATAGCAAAAAAAAAAAGTTCTTAAATTATAACATAATTCCTGTAAGTTGAGGTTAGAATTGGCAACATTTTCATTTGAAAAATATTGTAGTGGAGGGATCCCTGGGTGGCGCAGCGGTTTAGCGCCTGCCTTTGGCCCAGGGCATGATCCTGGAGACCCAGGATCGAATCCCAACGTCAGGCTCCCGGTGCATGGAGCCTGCTTCTCCCTCTGCCTGTGTCTCTGCCTCTCTCTCTCTCTCTTTGTGTGTGTGTGACTATCATAAATAAATAAAAATTAAAAAATATTGTAGTGGAAGAGAGCTATAATGAATCAAAACAGCTGTGTTTGGGATCCCTGGGTGGCGCAGTGGTTTGGCGCCTGCCTTTGGCCCAGGGCGCGATCCTGGAGACCCGGGATCGAATCCCACATCGGGCTCCCGGTGCATGGAGCCTGCTTCTCCCTCTGCCTGTGTCTCTGCCTATCTCTCTCTCTCTCTCTCTCTCTCTCTCTCTCTCTCTCTCTGTGACTATCATAAATGAATAAAAATTAAAAAAAAAAACAGCTGTGTTTTAGTTGTGGATTTCCTACAAGTGAGTAACATTAATTCACTTTCCTTCTCCAGGTTCAATTTCATTGTTAAAGGGGTTGACTTTGTACATTTATATATTTCCTGATCTAATTCTATGTATATGTTAAACTTCTAAAAATGCTATGATCCTATTTGGTTCCAAATCAGATATCATAGAATGTATACCTTCTCTCCTAGATTAGAAAGGAACAAATTTTCATTTATACCTTTCTGTCAGCATTTTAAAGCATTTTCTAGTAATCTCATTTTCTAATACTTTAATTAAATTGTGGTCAGAACTGGACTGTTTCCTTATAAAGACCACATAAGACACTGAGTCTAGTTACAAAGTTTAATTTTTACACATGTGGCACATGTGAATGGAGTATTGAGAGTAAAACATTTAAATATGCCATATAATGAAAAATGGAATAACTTGGCAAGCTGAGGACCCTGAAGAGGATAGAAAATGAAGAGTAGCATTAGGAAATTGGGAAGGTAACTGATCACCTCTATTCATCTTACATCCCCCTTATGCTGACATTTATCCAGCAACTTCGCTATTAACAGAAGACATACTCTTACTTATAAAATTTGCCTGTACTCCTGAGAAGTGGATGCATCATCTTCATCACAGCATTAACAATAACAACTAACATTTACTGAGGGCTCATTTTGTTCTAGACAGTATTTAAGGATTTTACATATATTTTTTCACTTCTCACAACAAAAGTGATAATATCTTCATTTTGCAAGTAAAACTAAGCCCTCCAAAGGATTAAATAACATTGATGGTCACCTACTTGGTCAGGGATAGAACCAAGATATGGACAAAGAGAAACTGGAATTGCAACATCTACCTTCCCAACACTGATCAGCCTAGAGCCTATCACCTCTCAGGGACCTTCAAAATCTGAGAGGAGAAAAGTCTCATCAGTAATAGGCAGAAGCCTGAGGTAGTACAGACTGATGAGTTACAAGAGCAGTCTGAGAGAGCTGGGACTCATTTCTCCTGTAGGTTAGTATGGTCTAGGGTGTAGCCATGAGTGGATGGCTATAGTGAAGTAAAGACTTGAGCTTTACATGTTGAACAGGCTGTCACATGACACTAAAGGCACACATTGTGACAGCAGGTCTTAGGGTAAAGTCTATTATGAACTTTGAATAAAGAGGGAAAGTGATATGATACAAATGATAGCAAAAAAAAAAAAAAAGTATCAAAGAGCAATCCAGACTTCTCTTTGACCTCTCAGACTTGAGATGTATAAAAATAATAGTTTCAGGGGGCACCTGGGTACTTCAGCCGGTGGGTAATAACACCGGTTAGGTGCCTAAGTTTCAGCTCAGGTCATGACCTCAGGGTTGTGAGATTGAGCCCAGATTCAGCTTCATGATCAGCCTGGAGTCACCCTGAGATTTTCTCCCTTACCCTTTGCCCCTCGCCCCACTCATGTCTTGTTGTGCCCACTCATTCTCTCTAATAAATCTTCTAAAAATAGTAATAATAGCTTCAGTACCTTCACCTGACAACTAATATTTTATGGACCTAATCTAGTATGGTAGCTACAAGAGTGCTATGAAATTTAAGGTTGCATGGGGGAAAAAAAGCCATTTGGTTGTTAAAGAGCAGACCAAAAAATACTTTATCACAACTATGAATCAATTAAGATTACCTTTATCACATAATAGGCCTGTGTTTTCTCCTCTTCTCCTTCAGGAGGCAGCATAACAACAGTAATAATTTCATATCTATTCTTCAGCTTATCAATTTTACTTAGCCTCTCATGAAACTCAGCACTAATATAGAGGAAAAGAAATACTGAAAAACAACATGCTTTTTTTAAACTATACTTTTCTTATATAAGACATTTTTATGACTACTGAATTCAAACAGGTTAAATATGTTCACTTTTAAATTTCACAATTAGTGGGAAGGGTCTCAGGTTTCTCCCTATTTGAAAACTAAGAAGTTAGGCTGCCATAGTTTCATGGATATTGGCAGAAGACAAGATTCCTAGGTCAGAGAAAAAGGACTTTGCCATTCACGGCACACCAAGTAGCATAAGCCTCCTGCTTGCAGAACTCTCAAAGTCCCATGCAAGTGAAGAAGGGCTCAAATGGATGTTACACACACCCTAGGTTTACATCACAGCTGAAGAGCCTCAAGTTTAGGTAATTCAAATATTTATAGAATATTTGGGAACTAAGCAAATATATCCAATACTTAGAGGATACCACCTCTAGCTTCTGAGGCTATACACTATCCGAACATCTTTTAAAAGATAGTTTAATGGAAATTAAAACCACAATATATTACCTCACAGCCTTAGGGTAACTACTAAAAAAGAAAAACAAAGTGGTGGCAGGGTGCCTGGGTGGCTCGGTTAAGCTTCTGGTCTTTTTTTTCATTGTACATCTCTCTTTTTTTTTTTTTGTATATTTTTTATTGGAGTTTGATTTGCCACCATATAGTATAACACCCAGTGCTCATCCTGTCAAGTGTCCCCCTCAGTGCCCATCACACAGTCACCCCAACCCCCCACCCACCTCCCCTTCCACTACCCCTTGTTGGTTTCCTGAAGTTAGGAGTCTCTCATGTTCTGGCTCCCTCTCTGATATTTCCCACTCATTTTCTTTCCTTTCCCCTATAATCCCTTTCACTATTTTTTATATTCCCAGTATGACTGAAACCATATAATGATTGTCCTTCTCCAACTGACTTACTTCACTCAGCATAATACCCTCCAGTTCCATCCACGTCGAAGCAAATGGTGTGTATTTGTCGTTTCTAATGGCTGAGTAATATTCCATTGTATAGATAAACCACATCTTCTTCATCCATTAATCTTTCGATGGACATCGAGGCTCCTTCCACAGCTTGGCTATTGTGGACCTTGCTGCTATAAACAATGGGGTGCAAGGCTACTGGTTCTTGATTCAAGTCATGATCTGCTCCATGTTCAGCAAGGGAGTCTGCTCGAGATTCTTTTTCCCTCTGTCCCTCCCCCCACCAGTTCACTCTTTCTCTCTAAAATAAGTCTTGGGCAGCCCCAGTGGCCCAGCAGTTTAGCGCTGCCTTTGGCCCAAGGTGTGATCCTGGAGACCCAGGATCAAGTCCTGTGTCGGGCTCCCTGCATGGATCCTGCTTCTCCCTCTGCTTGTGTCTCTGCCTCTCTGTGTGTGTGTGTGTGTGTGTGTGTGTGTGTGTCTGTCATGAATAAATAAAATCCTTTTTAAAAATGAAAAAATAAAAATAATAAAAAATCTTAAAAAAAAAAACCTATTATCAACAATGTGGAGAAACGGGAACACTTGTGCGCTATTTGTGGAAATGTAACATGATGCAACCGCTAAAGAAAACAGTATGGTAGCTCCTCAAAAATTACAAATAAAAGTACCATATGATCAAGCAATCCCAGTTAGCCAAAAAAAACTGAAAGCAGGTACTTCAAGAAATCTCTGCACCCCAATGTTCATAGCACCATTATTCATAATAGCCAAGAGATAAAGCAATCCCAACATCCATGGACAGATGAATGGATACACTACATGTGGTATATACATGCAATGGAAAATTATTCAGCTTTAAAAGGAAATTGAATCACATGCTACATAGGTGAACCTGAGGACACTGTGCTAAGTGGAATAAGCCAGTCACAAAAGACAAATACTACATGATTCCACCTACATCAAGTATCTAAAGCAGTCAAATTCATACAGAAAGAATGGTGTTACCAAGGGCTGGAGGAAGGAAAAAATGGAAGGTTAGTGTTTAGAGGGTATAGAGTTTCAATTTCAGAAAATGAAAAAGTTTTGAAGATCTATTGCACAACAATGTGAATACACTTAACATTATTGAACTGTACACTTAAAAATTATTAATATGGTAAATTTTATATTATGTGTTTTTTACCAAAAATTTTTAACAAGACTCCAGGATGGGAAAGTTAGTGCCTTTCCTTGCAAGACATACAGAAATATGAGAAACACATGAAGAACTGTGTCCCACAATTTCGAATCTGCTGATTATTTTTTCCTTTTATTTTGGTAAATTCATATTTTATGAACTTTTTAAAATTTATTTTATAATAATGCTAATTATGCTAATATATGTATGGCAACATGAAGAGTGACTCATTTGCCTACTACTACCTTATGAAAGCATACTGTCCAACCATGGTGAAAAGAAATCTTCAACCTACCAGCATTCCCACTCCTAAAGAAAATTGGTGGTAAAATATATAAACAGAAGTTATGGTTTTGTTTATTTTTAAGTATTATGTTGTATAATCAAAAAAATATTTAGTCAACCTTTATATGACTGTAAAAGACAAGGCCTGTTGGTCTTCCAGCTTAATGTGGATTGATTACAAGTATATCTCTCCTCCTTCCTAAAATAGAAAAGAATAAAAAGAAAAAAAAAAAGCACAGCTCTGGGAAAAAGAAAGACACAATTTTGTCATGAATTCATGAAAAAATGGGAAACAAATGGGATATGATTGATGGGGGGTGGAGGGAGATACAGACAGAAGATTATTAATGCAGAAATAAGAGCCATGCTTCACAAAAAAAGTCTAGAGAAAATTCAAATACAGAAATAAGAAATAAAAAGACCAAAAGTGATATCTGAGACAATTATTAAGGTGAGTAATGAATGGACTGTCTAAATATCTGGGCTACTCTCCTCAATCCCTCAAAGTTTAGGGAAATGTTGGCAGGAATTATTTATGCTTCAGTGATACCCCCCCCCCATTATCAGAGTTCCTAGTATTGTTATGTTTGAGCTAGAGAGAAAAGTAAAAAAGAGCATGGTGATTCCAGCCCCCCCCCAAAAGTGGGGTTAATAGAAAACAAAGTTCCATCCATGAAGAAAATAAAATCTTTATCATCCAAAATAAACTCCTTATGCTCATTAAGGGACAAATTAGCCCAGTGCCCACAAGCAGCCCTCCCAATTAGAGGAGAGACCAGCTGGAGAAAATGATCTACCTAATTGCAGAAGAAACCATACCAGCTGCTATATCAATCACCGTGATTATTATTTAAACATTTGTTATTAAACAGAAATCCAAGGACTATCAAACATACTGGAAAGTTAACAGCATGAATGAAAAGAACAAAGTGAGCAACCACATGACATACTAAGACAAATAATGCAAGCAACAGAAGAGAACTTCCAAAGTATTTTAGTATCTCTAAAAGATGAGAGGATATTGGTCCCAAACTATCCATAAACAAGAATGGGCTGCTATGAAAAGACCAATGAAGGAACAAGAGTCATTACAAACAGTTTCCCCCTTTTTAATTTAATAGTAGTAAATAAGAAAGAATCAGTGATCTAGAGAAAGAGAGAAAGGGGGGCAGAGAATGGAAAGGAGGCAGAAAGGAAGAGAACAGAGAAAGAATGAGAATATCTTAAAAAGTGAAATAGAACAGAAACTTTAAAATGAGAGTGAAGAAGTCCAGAAGACAAACCAACATCCACTAAAATGAGCAACAAATGCAGAAAATAGAGGGTGGTGTGAGAAAAAAATTAAAGAACTAATAGGAAAAAAATTTCCCTAACCTAAAGAAAAACTTGACTGAAATAATTAACAGAGCTTACCAAGAGCTCTTGTTTCTTCCAAACAAGAAAAATGAAAACCAAAAACCAAAAATCCAAAAAAACCACCCAGAACAAAGAGAAATTCTGAAACCCTAAGGATAAAGAGTGTCCCAAAGCTTTTCAAACAGAAAACAAAAACCAGGTTCCCTACAAAATAAAATGAATTAGTCTGAATCAGACCTTTCATAAATAACTCTGTCATGTATAAGAATATGAAACAAGGAGCAACGCCTCGGTGGCTCAACAGTTGAGAGTCTGCCTTTGGCTCTAGTTGTGATCCTGAGGTCTCAGGATCGAGGCCCGCGTGGGGCTCCCTCTGCCTCTCTGTGTCTCTCATGAATAAATAAATAAAATCTTAAAAAAAAAAATGAAACAATGCTTTCAAAGTTCAACTCTAATTCAAATATGAACAGAGTAGGTATGTGTTAAACATGTAAAAACTCAGGGTACCTGGTTAGCTCAGTCAGTGAGCATCAGCCTTCGGCTCAGGTTGTGATCCTAGCTCCTGGGATGGAGCCTGAGTTAGGTTCCCTGCTCAGTGGAGAGCCTGCTTCTCCCTCTCCCACTGCCCCTCCCCACCACTCATGCACATACTCTCTCAAATAAATAAAATCTTTTTTTAAAAAATAAAAATAATAAAATAAGGGCAGCCCCGGTGGCGCAGTGGTTTGGCGCCACCTGCAGCCCAGGGCGTGATCCTGGAGACCCTGGATCCAGTCCCACATCGGGCTCTCTGCATGGAGCCTGCTTCTCCCTCTGCCTGTGTCTCTCTCTCTCTCTCTGTCTCTATGAATAAATAAAATATTTTAAACAATAATAATAATAAAATAAACATGCAAGGACTCAAAAATTTCAGAAACCATCAATTCTGGGGAAAAAAAAATTCAGATCCTACTCCAGAGAAATGAAATGGGAATCCAAGAAAAAAAGATGACACCGTACACATGAAACAATATTAAACCAAAAACAAAGGAAACATACAGCTAGGTTGAATTATTGTTGGCAATTGACTATATAGTTTAATGTAACCTATGAGAAAGGAGTTCTTTAAAAATAGAGACCTATGGGATCCCTGGGTGGCGCAGCGGTTTGGCGCCTGCCTTTGGCCCAGGGCGCGATCCTCGAGACCCGGGATCGAATCCCACATCGGGCTCCCGGTGCATGGAGCCAGCTTCTCCCTCTGCCTGTGTCTCTGCCTCTCTCTCTCTCTCTCTCTCTCTCTCTCTCTCTCTCTCTCTCTCTGTGACTATCCTAAGTAAATAAAAATTAAAATAAAAATAAAAATAGAGACCTAATAGGGCAGCCCTGGTGGTGCAGCGGTTTAGCGCCACCTGCAGCCGAGGGCGTGATCCGGAAGACCCAAGATTCAGCCCCGAGTCCCTCGGGTTCGCTGCATGGGGCCTGCTTCTCCCTCTGCCTGTGTCTCTGCCTCTATGAATAAATAAATTTTTTAAAAAATCTTAAAAAAAATAGAGACCTAATATTAAAAACAGTAAATAACAACCTGAAACTATAATTAGTGGTTTCAATAATACTTGAAAGATGGAGAGAGAAAATGTAGCAGTAAAAGATGCTAAAAGTCTTATCTTTTAATAAGATAAGGAAAAAATCATAGGAGCTAATTAATCCTCAGTATTCTCAGAAAAATAGGAAAATTAAAATTTCTTTTGAATTTAAGAATAACCAACAAAATAATTAAAATTAGAATTTTTATATTCCAAATAATAAAAGAGGAAAGAAGGGAAAAGCAAATTCAATAAAACCAATGAAAGCCAGGAAAGACAGAAAGAATATGATTCATTTCTAGGTATTTATCCAAGAGAAAAGAAAGCATATGTTCATACCAAGAACACATATGTTCATAACAGCTTTATCTGTATAGCCAAAACCCAAAAACAATTAAAATGTTCATCAACAGGTAAATGTATGCATAAATTGGGATAGATATATGCAATTGAATATTATTACTCAGTGATGAAAACCTGGGGTCAACAAACCATCCTGCCTGCTACCTGTTTTCGTACGTCCCATGAGCAAAGAATGCCGCTTACCTTATTTTAAAGATTTTATTAATTTATTTGAGAGATAGAGAGCATGAGAAAGAGAGAGAGCAAAAGCAGGGGGTAGAGGTAGAGAGACAGACTCCCTGCCAAGCAGGGGGCCCGATGTGGGACTCAATCCTAGGACCCTGGGATCATGACCTGAGCTGAAGGCAGACACTTAACCAACTGAGCCACCCACGTGTCCACCATTTACATTTTTTTTCACCATTTACATTTTTAAATGTAAAATCAAGTTTTAAAAAGTCAAGAGGAACATTACATTTCATGAAAAATGAAAATGCTATGAAATTCGGGGCACCTGGCTGGCTCAGGTGGCTCCATTAGGAGCCTGCTTCTCCCTCTACGTGTGTGTGTGTGTGTGTGTGTGTGTGTGTGTCTCTGTGTGTCTCTCATGAATAAATAAATAAAATCTTAAAAAAAAAAAAAAGAAGAAGCTAACATCTAAATAAACTCACAAAAATAGAAGGAAAAAATAGTAAATGTGAGAGCAGGAATTAATAAAATAGAAAATTGAGGCACCTGAGTGGCTCAGTCAGTACATCAGACTCTTGGTTTCAACTCAGGTCATGATCTCAGGGTTGTGAGTGAAGCCCTGCATCAGGCTCTGGGCTTGTCAGGGAATCTGCTTGAGATTCTTCCCCCTTCCTCTCCCTCTCCCTCTGCTTCTCCCCTAGCTCATGCGTTCTCTCTCAAATAAATAAATAAAATCTTTAAAAATAATAATAAATAATAAAATAGAAAAGTGGATTCACAATAGGAAAAAAATCAACAAGCATTGCTTCTTTTCAAAGAGTAATAAAATTCATTAACTACTGGTGAGATTTAACCCACCTAAAAAAAGAGAAGTCACAAATAACCAATATCAGGAATGAAAAGCTACAAATACTACAGCTATTAAACAAATAACCAAATGATACTGTGAACAACTTTATGGCAATAACTTTGAAAATTTAGCAGAAATGGAAATTTTTTCTTAGGAAAAATATAATTTACTAAAACTGATTAAAGAAGAAATACAATTGTATTTCTGTATTGTCCTATCACTAATAAGTAAATTGAACCAACAGTTGAAAATCTTCAAAAAAAAGTCCAGGCCTTCAAGGGCTTTATGAGTGAAATCTTTGAAAATTCAAGAAAGATGTAATTCTAGGGATGTCTGGATGGCTCAGCAGTTGAGCATCTGCCTTCGGGTAGGGTGTGATCCTGGAGTCCCTGACTGAGTCCCACATCAGGCTCCTGCAGGGAGCCTGCTTCTCCTGTCTCTATCTCTCTCTCTGCCTCTCTCTGTGTGTCTCTCATGACTAAATAAATAAAAATCTTTAAAAAAAAAATCCAGTTCTACTCTTTTGCAAACTTATCCAGACTATAGAAAAATTAAAAAACACACAAAATCATTCTATGAAAGCTGACATAACCTTAGTAAACTATAATTTGACAAGGGTAACACAGAAAGGAAATTTATAACCATAGATGGGACAATTGTATACAAATATCATCAAACAAAATGTAGATATATACAAAATGTAATATGTGACAGACAAGTTTTGATTATTCTAGGAATGTAATGTTATTTTAACTTTGAAAAATCAATCTATATATTTAATTATATTAACAGACTAGAAGGATCTACATCCTATCAACGAACACAGAAAAAGCATCCAACAAAAGTCCATTCCTGATGAGACAAATTAAAACGACCTCTTAGAAAGAATGAAAATAGATGGGCACTCCTTTGATATTATAAAGGGTATTTCAAAGAAATCTGCAACTCATATTTAACAATAAAACGATTCCCTTCAATATCAGGCACAGGACAAGGGGACCTACAATCACCACTGCTAGTCAGCACTGACCTGGAGTTCAGATAACAAGGACAGTGAAGCAATAGAAAGAAAAGTTATAAAGGCTGAAAAAAAAGGAGGCACAAAACTGTTATTTGTAAATGATGTGAATGAAATACCTAGAAATTAGAATCTATAGATAACTGTCAGAATTAGTAGGAGTTGAAGCAAAGTTGTTGGATTCTTAATATATAGAAATCAACTATTTCTATAATGCCAGCAACAAACCAAAGATGGAATTATTTATGTTTTTTTTAAAGATTTTATTTATTTATTCATGAGACACACACACACACACACACACACACAGAGAGAGAGAAGAGAGAGGCAGAGACAAAAGCAGAGGGAGAAGCAGGCTCCATGCAGGTAGCCCGACATGGGACTTGATCCCAGGTCTCCAGGATCACGCCCAGGGCCAAAGGCAGGGACTAAACCACTGAGCCACCTGGGCATCCCCAAGATGGAATGATTTAAAAGGAGATAACAGGGATCCCTGGGTAGCTCAGCGGTTTAGCGCCTGCCTTTGGCCCAGGGCATGATCCTGGAGTCCCGGGACCAAGTCCCACATCGGCTCCTGGCATGGAGCCTGCTTCTCTCTCCTCCTGTGTCTCTGCCTCTCTCTCTGTACGTCTATCATAAATAAATAAATTAAAAAAATAAATAAATAAAAATAAAAGGAGATAACATTGACAAAAACATTTTAAAAAGTAGCATGTAGGGGCACCTGCGTGGCTTAGTCAGTTGAGGATCTGACTCTTGATTTCAGCTCAAGTCACAATCTCAGGGTCCTGGGATCAAGCCCGGCATCAGGCTCTGCACCGAGCTTGGAGCCGGCTTGAGATTCTCCCTCTCCCTCTCTCCCCTTCCCCACTGTCACACTTTCTCTCTCTCTCAAATAATTAATTAATTTAATTAAATAAAAAGTAGCATGTACCTAGGAATAAATCTTTTTTATAAAAGATATGCAAAACTTCTAGGGAAAAATTGTGTTAATAAATGCAGCTATTAAGTATCTATGTTATTGAACTCTTACCACAAAACATACACAAAAATCAGTTCCAAGGGAATTACTGATCTCATTATTAAAGGGATAATCTAAAGGATTAAGAGTTAGCCAAAGGAAAGAGGGAAGGAAAAGCATAGGTTCATGACTAAAATGTATATTATATATTAGAAGCCTTTTCAAAGAACTAAGAAAAAGATGAACCTCCAGTCAATTCTTCTGACATCACCCTTATATTTTCAAAAAATTTTAGCAGTATTTTAAAACTCAAATTATTACCTTAAGTTCTGTCGTTCTTGATCAACATATCTTATTTGTGATGCAAGCATTGTTTTATGAACCTTAATTTCTTCCATTCGTTCTTCCATAGCTGTGTGTAATTGCTGTTTTCTTTTTTCCAGAGAAAGTACTTCTTCTGCCTTACTGTGAAGCATTTCTCGAGTACGTTTAACTTCAAGTTTTAAAAGATTGTCTTCTATCATCAAATCCTATCAAGGTAACAAAATTGTCAGATGCTAAAATAATTACTGTTACACCCAAACCAAAATATTTTTATTACCACAAAAGTCAAACTTGAAAATAAAACTGTCCTTAATTTGACCACTGACCAAGATAAGTAGGATTAAATTTAGATTGCTCTGAATGAGGACTTTGGGTTCCTTTACTTTTTAAGAAAAGATTTTATTCCAAATTTTATTATAATTCAATTTGAAATTTAAGTTTTACTAAAAAGAAGGAAAAAAAGGAAGAATTTATTCCCCAAATTGAAACTTAAAAGTCAGGAAATGTATAAAGTTCTATGGATGAACATTTTTTATATTCTAAACTAAATCTCACAAAATAACATATAAATAATTTTTTTTCTAAGTCATGGATAGAGTACTGATACAAGAGTACACAAATAGATCAATTTTCAGAATAGAAAGCCCAGAAACAAATACTCCAGAACATAAGACTTTATTATTTCAAAATGTAGCTTTTCAATTGGAGAAAAGTTTAGATCCCTACATCTCAAATGTACTAAAAATAAATTCCAGATGAATGAAAAACCTAATGTAAGATAAAACCAATGCAGTTACCGAAATAGTAAACATTTGTTTGATTTTTAAAATGACACAGGAGTTTCTAAGCATAAAAATTACTCAGGGAAAAAATATTTGATGTTAAAAATTTTTTTTTTCATGTCAAAAAAAATGAACAAAAATTTTAAATGTAAATGGAAAAAATATTGACAATATTTATGACACTTGTTATTTTTATGTATGAAGGTCTTTTGCAATTAAAAAACATAAACCTCCTGATGGAAATATGGGCTAAGATAATAAACCAGAAATCCAAAAGAGAAAGATTACAGAATATAACATCATAGAAAAAAATGTTTTAAACACTGGTTTGAGGGAGAGAGCACGCATGAGTGGCAGTAGGGAGGGGAGAGCAGAGGGAGAGGGAGAGAGAGAATCTCATGTGGGGCTTGATCCCACAACCCTAAGCCAAAACCAAACGCTGGACGCTTAACCCACAGTCACCCAGGCACCCCTAAACATTTTTATTTAAACATAAATATTTGACATTTTATGTTCAACTGTAAAATGTTTTCACGTGTCACCAACTTAAAAACTATTCCATCAAATTGACAACAATTTTATAAATTATAATATCCAAACTTCCAGGTGGTAAAATAGAATGCTCACACGTTGCTGGTGGGAGTATCAAATGAACCCTCCAGAAGACAATTTGGCTTAAAAATAGTATAGGGTCACCTGGGTGGGTCAGTCAGCTTAGCTCTGGACTCCTGATTTTGGCTCAGGTCATGATTTCAGGGTCATGAGATCAAGTCCGATACGGGGCTCCCTGCTTAGCACAGAGCTGCTTTCCCCTCAAGCAGCTCCTCCCTCTCTCTCAAATAAGTAAAATTTAAAAAAAAAAAAAAGGGAAAATAGTTTCAAGACCTGAAAATATTCATTCTTTTTGGGCCATAATTATACAGTTAAAAGTTTTTCCTAACTCATTAAATAACTATACAATGATATATATGCATGGTATATGGTGGTACTATTTTTTTTAGTGGTCTCCACACCCAATGTGGGGCTCAAACTCATAACCCTGAGAACAAGAGTCACAAGCTCCACCAACTGAGCCAGCCAGGTGTCCCTGATAGTACTATTTAGAATAATCAAACATTGAAAATAAATACATATCCAAAAAACAGGAGATGGTTAAACAAATTATGGTAACTTCATGTAATAAATTATAAGAAGCCTTTAAAAATAATTTATAAAGAATATTTAATGTTTAGAAATATACATGGAGATGGATATAGATTTTAAATTTTTAAAAATAATGTATATAAAGCCAATTTTCTTCAAAAGACTAGAAGGCAATAATATAACTTTAACACATTATCTTCTATACGGTGATTCTAGTAACTTTATTTTCTTCTTTATAATTTAGTATGTTTTTATAATTTTCTATAATTAGCATTAAATTATGTGATTTTTAATATCATATGCACATATGATTTTACTGTACCTGTTTCAAAGCTTTGGTTTTATTAAGTTCTTTCTCTGATCTGTCATTGAAAAGGTTTAGTTCATTTACTTTGGTCATGAGAAACTGTTTTTCGTCACAATTTTTACTATTTGACTTCTTAATAAAATAAAGATCATTCTATAAAAGGGGAAGAGAGGTACATAAATACACATTTTTTTATAACTACACATTTTAAAAGAACATTAAATACATCTTACATAAAATTATATGCTCCATTGAATATTTATAATAATTGGTTTTTAAATCTCACTCTTCATGCTCTAATGTTTCTAATATAATACATGTGGATAATCACATAGAAACATTTTCATTTTTATCACCTACTGATTTTTTAGATTTGGTTTGGGTTCAATAATTCCAGGAAATATTATGTATGGCTTGATCTGAATTATTGGGTGATTGCCATTTATGGGGAGAAATATGAGGAAGAAGCCAAGCATTGGTTCAGTGCACAGCTCACCTTCTGAAGTTCATGATTTGATTCAACCCAAGCCACAGAAAGAAAAAACCCTCACATTCTAAAAAAGTGTAGGAACTTGGTTAACAGTACAAACTCTAGAATCAGATGGCCTTCATTACACATCAGTCATCTGACCCTGCTGGGCAGCCTACCATTCCTCAGTTTCTTCTTTTCTAAAATGGAGATAACATACCCACCTCCCTGGACTGCTGTGAGGATTAAAGATGTTACTGTCAAAGAGTACGTACAACAGTGTTTGACACATAGAAGTGTCATGTATTCTTACTATTAATTACATGTATAATCACATATTGCTAGAGAGAAAAATGCTAGAAAAGATCTAATTCCATCAAATGCTTTTGTGTTACACATACCCAGATATCAGTCTCCTAGCTTTATAACGGTGTGTTATCTTTCTGCTCACCCAGAGTCCAGGACAAGGTTTATGCTTATAGTCCCCTCTGGGTACCAAAAGCAAAAACTTTCTAGTTCCAAGACCTAGTTCTGTCCCTTTCTCGCTGTCTTTTACCCTCTTTTTCTCTCTTCCTCCCTCCTATATCTCTCTCATTGCCTGTATTTCTCTAAGGTATCAAGACCTAAGATAGTAGCAAGACAGTAAGAAGAGGAATTTTTTTTGTATGAAGATGTGATTTCACAAAATTAACTTTTAGAATGAAAAAATTTTAATTTCAGGTGATTTTCAACCAGAAGGAATTAGCTTCTATTATGCAAAATAGAAGATGAAATGGTATGAGAGTAGTAATTCAGAATGACTTCACAATCTCATGCTACTCTTGAGAAAAGAAAACCTTCATTAGAAGATTAAGGAACTTTTATATCTTTAAAACTTCACATGCATTTCTTTTAATTCATTTATCTCTCTGTTAAATCCAGAGTTGGGATAGGCATTAGTACTAATCAACTGTACAATGGACAGAGCCCCAGAGTAGTTAGAAGGCAGAACACTAGAACCATTCCCACACAGCAAAACAGACACACAATTCATGCCAGGGTCAAGAAACACACTTGGATACAAACGTCATCCTCGTATCATTCTGTAGCATTAATATTCTCCTCATAGTCAATGTAATTAAAATAATACTATTTATTGAATACCTCCTAAAAGCACTGCATTAAAATATACATTGCTTCTAATTCTTTCAAACATCCTGAAATAATATCAAATCTTTTCTTTCCTTTAACAGAGGAGTTAACTAGGGCTCAGAAAAGTTAAAGTTATAGTACTGATACAACCTTGATATTTAAAACCAGTTGTTTCTGATTCCAAAACATGTGTTCTTTTCCACAAAGCTAAGGAAACAGTTTTTAAAAATTTCATCAGGCTACAGACTACTCCAAACCCAAATTTTATCATCTTTAAATTAAAAAAATAATAATTTTAAAAAGAGCTCCCTTTCACCTTTATAATCCTAAAGGAATTCAGGGCAATTATCCTTATAACCACTAGAGGACACTCATCACAAGCCTTTCAAACTAAATGACACTAAATCCTTTGGGATTCTCATCCCTTTCAGGTCCATGATCTCAGTTCCTCACTCTTACTCTCCAGCTAAACTTTAACACAGGTTTTATACTACATAGGTACCCCTAACATAGGTTTTATATGACTATAAGCATTAAAACACTGAAAGATGAGAACATTTTCACCATATTAACAAAATTAAGCTATTCAAAATACTGTAACCAAGTAAATATATGAATAACAGTAATAGATGGCCCATAAAGGTCATTTCAAAGATAAAGGGTAATCAAGTTATTCTGGCAAAAACATAATAGAAAAATGGAATTTATCAATGTTTTAAATCATGTAGTATTTAAGAGTATTTTGAAGTCCTATGGACCAGGGATCAAATCCTAGCTCTCTGTACTAGCTGTGTAACCATGAACAAGTTACTTGATCTGTGACACAAGTCATAATGTCTCCCTCACAAGACACTGATAAAGATTAAATGAAATAAAATACTAAAGACATTTAATATACTTAGTATATAGTAAGTGCACAATCACTAGTAATGTTATATTCTCATAGTCAGTATAGAAACATGAACATTATAGTTCATACATTTGTTATATATGCAGGTAGCTTGGCAATCATCCTATCCAAAGTAAAGTCTTAGGAACATGTTGACTTAAAACAGAATGACTAATGACTAGGATATTTGAAGCATCAAAAGTATTTTGGCTAAATTACATGAAGCTTCTTGATCTGTGATTCCAAAAGGTCAAACGTAGATTTTTTCTCCTCCAATATCTTTTTAAGTTCAACAATTTTTGTTTCAAGGGCTTGTTTTTCTTCTGAATTAATTTCTCCTTTTAACCGTGACATTCGGCGTTCCACTTGCTGAATGTAAAAATCCTGTTACATTTTTTTAAATAGATAGTAAGGAGAAACAAATAGTTAAAACCATTTCTATAAATATAAAAACACAATAAACACTTTCTTATAAATTTAGTCTTAAGTGTCATCATTTACTAAAGTCACTTTAATTCTTCAGTAATTTATAGTATAAAATCCTTCTTAACTCTGAGAAACAGCAAACCATTCTTTAACAATCAAGGCACATGACAGTGATATGAAAATAAGTAATCTAGTGGCAATATAAGAAGTCAGCTAGGAGGGTATTTACCATACTACTAGGATGGAACCTCAGTAAACACACTGGATTTACATGGACATGGACTTTTGAAGGTACATTTTTTCTTACCCTACTACTGACCAAACATGATATCCCATTTCAGCATCTATCTATCCCTCCAAGAGGACTTAAAAAAAAATCTTTTTTTTTTCAGGAGATTGTGGTATCTTGACCATCACAACTATAACAAATCAATACGGAAGACATTCATAAGATTAATATCTACCTGACTGTACATAATTTCTTGCTGCTTCAAGGTTTCAAAATCCAGTTTATGTAACTGATGGTTGAGGTGCTTTAGAGAGGAACGGGTTCCTTCAATTTCTGATACAACAGCTTTTTCTTTCATTGTCTCAGTCTGTAATTCTTGAACTTTCTTAAATAGCACATCTTTCACTATGTTTAATTGAACTTCCACTTCCTGATGATAAGAATAATAGTGATCAATGACATTTTAATACCTTGCAGTATTTTGTTACATGAACACTATAATTTTGGGGGTTATAAATTAAACCTCCAACATTTTAACCCTTGAGAATATAAGAATGCCCTTCCCACAATTTCAACATATCTCCAACATTTCTTATAGTCTACTCTATTCCAGTACCTTGATCTGTCATCTTTATTCTACACCACGTCACCCTAACCTTAGAATTTGGCCATTCCCCTGGTTTCCCTAGGAAATAAAATATACCAGAGACACACAACTTATAGGTTCGCAGAATTTTCTGAAGTCTTGAAGGTGTTACAGGGAAGAAGTCACATTGCTCAATCTCCTACCCTCTTGTGGGCACTATCCAGTTGTGAGCAGGTAAATGTTTAACTACCAGCTTTCCAGTGGATGGGAGGTTAGAAGGAAAAAGCTGATTTTAATTGTATAAATATTCCCATTATTTATTGTATATATAATTGTATGTATGTATAATTGTATGTATAATCGTATAATTATTCCCAATTTCAAGCTACTATCATGCTTCCAAAAAGGCAGAGTTGGGAAGAGATATGGAGTAGCAGACCATTACACAGCATTTCCACTATATAGATATAATAAGTGTAAGTAATCTTAAGTAATCTTAAGAGCATAAATAGGTAACAGTAAAATACAGTAAAATAATTTGGAAGTGATGAATGCTGAGTACTTATTTACTTTGTTTTTAATATTATGTATTTAACTGTAAGTCAATATAATTTAATTTTTAATAGTATCTATGTTTAGCAGCTGACTTGCAAAATTCCAGAAAATTTAACTATCAACTCTTATGAGCTGATAGGGCTGACCCCAACACACTACTAGCACTACCCTTTATTCACACCTTGCCTCCAGATGGCTTCCCTACCTGTGCAGCCTTCTAGTAAAGAGAAACCAGGCCCCCATTCCCACTGCTCATTTCTTAAGGGGCAGATCTCTCTTGACCTGAATGCTTTATGACCAAGTGTTCTAAGCTTCAAATAGATCTCCCATGCCAAATAAGATCGGTTGAAAGTTACCATTTTAAATGTTGAAATAATTTCCCTCTGTGCTCTTAAACCCAGATTTCCTTTTGCCAACCAATGAAGCGCAATATGGAAAAAAAAATCTGTGACTGGCACATTTAAATTTTGACAAATTAAGAAATATAATCTAATATAATCTTAAAAATTCGGGATCCCTGGGTGGATCAGCGGTTTAGCGCCTGCCTTTGGCCCAGGGCATGATCCTGGAGTCCCGGGATCGAGTCCCACGTCAGGCTCCCGGCATGGAGCCTGCTTGTCTCTGCCTCTCTCTCTCTCTCTATGTCTATCATAAATAAATGAATAAATCTTAAAAAAAATTCTTTGTTACATAATAGCCAATTTTTATTAGTTCTAAGACCTTCTCAAAGATTACCTGGCAGTTTTAAAGTCAGTGCTTGGTGGTGAATAACGGTACAGCTCCAAAACATATAGGGTTAGGATTTTTCCAAACAAAAACCAACAGCTACAAAAACCAAGATTATGAATAAAACACTGCTACAGCACAAGTAGCACACATGCTGCCAATCCTATTTTTTCTAATTAAGCTAATTTCTTCAAAAATGTCACCAGTTTTTAATGTCATCATCAAAAGTTCTACTTCATATGTATTTCAGTCTTTAGAGATCTCTAAGTTCCAATACTGTCCCATTTTACATGCTAGAGGAAATAATGCTCTTAGGAGAAAAAAAAAACAAAACTTTTTTTTTTAATAATGTGTGATTTAGACTCAAATACCACTCAAGTCAAGGTTGCTGCATGACTTCATTATTCAGGAATTTTGAACAAACAACAGCATACTGAAGAAGCTGGATTCCATCCAAAAATAAGTGAAACCATCATATTTGATATTTAGCAAATAGGGGATTTTGCCATGATCTTCAGCTGCCCCTCAGAAAAAGAGTAAAAGCAAATAGTAGTGCAAATAGTGTCAGGTCACAGAAGTCACTTTGAAGTTTTCAAAGAGGAGATGGTGAATCAACCTTTTTCAGTTCCTCAAAAATTGGCCTAAATGCTACCAAGATTCCAAAGACATTCCAATAGAATTGTAAAGTAGAACACCTAAGAGTCCATTTACTTATAAATGGTACCAGACTGTCAGAGATAATAAATGATAAAGAAATACAGGAAGGAATGTAGACCACTGGGGGCGGGGGGGATTTGATCACAAACTATCCCCCCCCAAAAAAATAATCAATTATAAGGGTGGAAATCAATTGTAAAACATAAAACATGGGCATTTTTCAAGATGTGTCTATCATAAAACAGCATATATATGAATGACAAGCAGAGACATGCCAGGCATTGGGAAGGCACGAGATCCTAGGTAGAGAGCTACCTGTGAAAGAAGACATCAAAGTCAAACCCTGAAAGCAAAGCAAAGGGGGAAGTAGAAGTTTTAAGAGAGAAGACCACACACAAATAGGGAGTCTAACAACTCAAAATTCTGATCACAAATATGATCATACCAGAAAGCAGAGCCTCTCAACAGACCTTTTGGAGGTCCAGTGAGTCAGTCTCCCTGACTGCAAGAGTCTAATTCACTATTGCTAAATTTGCTGTGACTGTTTACAAGCTAAAACAAAACTTTACCTTTACACTTTTTTCCTCCTCTCTCAGCATATCTTCCAAATTAGTAGCTTTCTCTTCTACAGACATCGTTTTCTCAGTTATCTGCTTTAATTTCTTTTTTACACTCTGATTATGATTTTTAATTTTCTGTAACCTAGAGAGAGTTTATGAGGAAAAAATAGAAAACAAGTCTAAAAAGTAATACAAACAAACAAAGAATAGTTTATCCTAAGATTTCTTCATATAACCTGAAGGTTTCTTTTGCCATCAACTTTTTTATTACCTTTTTGTTACCTTTCTGTAAACCTTATATACATATTAAATATATATTTAATAAGCCATAAAAATATTGTTCTTAAGCCTTTACAATGAGAAACTGAGGAAAAACTTTTTTCAAGTGTAATAATTTAGTAGCTATACATTTACAGTTATCTAGCAAAAACTTAAATATCTAATAATTTTTCTACAAGTAGTCAATTACTGGGGTGCCTGGGTGCATCAGTCAGTTAAGTTCCAACTCTTGATTTTAGCTCAGAGCATGATCTCAGGGTCATGAGATCAAGCCCCACATCTTGTTCTCTCTCTCTCTCTCTCTCTCTCTAATAAATAAATAATAAAATCTTTTTTAAAAACAGAAGTGGTCAAAAACAATAAACATCTTTAAATATCTTTTTTTCTTACCTTGCTGTTTCTTCCTGAATGTCCTTCTTTATTTTGGAAATATTTTTCCTTAGAGCTTCTAAATCACTGGAACTTCTATTCACAGTGGCTTTTAAAGAATCCAGCTATTCATTAATTAACAGACAGAAATTATATATTTACTCTATATCTTATAAATTAATTTCACTTTTGAAAAGTTCTATTCTGCACATGTAATACATATTAACCAGTTTTCCTTTTTGATCTGATATTACATTTTAAATGACCTATTGCATGATACTGGCAAATTATAGAGTCCTCCATATATGCGTTAAAGGTGTATACAGCAAAAGCTTCACAGTATTGGATGTGGCAATGGTTTCTTGGATATGACAGGCAACAAAAGAAAAAACAGACAAACTGGACTTCATCAAAATTAAAAACTTGTGCATCAAAAGACAGTATCAACAGTCTACAAGATGGGGAAAATATCTGCAAAACATATACCTGATAAGGGATTAATAACCAGAATACATAGAGAACTTCCAAAATTCACCACCGCCAAAAAAAAAGCCAGTCTGATCCAAAAATGAGCAAAGGAGTTGAACAGACATTCCTCCAAAGAAGATATACTAATGGCCAGTAAACTCATAAAAAAATGTTCACAGCATCAATCATTAGGGAATGCAAATCAGAGCGACAATGAAATACCACCTCATACCATTCCATGAGGATAGCTACTATTAAAACAAGAAAAAAAGGGGAAAAAAAGAAAAGAACAAGTGTGGATGAGAATGTGGAGAAACTAAAGCTGGAACCTATTAGTGGGAATATAAAATGGTCAAGCCACTACAGAAAACAGTATGGTGGTCCCTCAAAAAATTAAAAACATAATTACCACCCAGCAATTCTGAGGTAACTGTACACCCGTGCTCACAGCAGCATTATTCACAACAGCTAAACCATGACAGCAACCCAAGTGTCCATGGACAGATAAATAGATAAGCAAAATGTGATATGTACAGACAATGCAATAGTATTCAGCCTTAAAAAGTAATGAAATTTTGACATATGCTACAACATAGATGAACCATGAGGACATTATGCTTAGTGAAATAGATGAAATAAGTCAGTCACAAAAAGCTAAATACTTTCATGCATATGAAGTACTTTCAGTGGTCTCATAGAGACAGGAAGTAGAGTGGTAGTTGCTAGAAGCTAGGAGGAGGGGCAAATGAGGAGTTATTGTTTCGTTAGCATGTGGTTTCAGTTTTATAAGAAGAAAAGAGTTATGGAGATGGATGGTGGTGATGGTTGCATAACATTAGGAATGTGTTTAATATCGCTGAACTGTATACTTAAAATGAGTAAGATGGCAAACCATGTTATGTGTACTTTGCCTCAATTTTAAAATTTGGAGGAAGAAAATGAATGAAGAGTGATGCATGCTACAACATGGATGAACCTTGAAAACATTATGTAAGTAAAAGAATCCAGACATAAAGTACTCCATATTATATGATTTCATTGATGTGAAATGTACCAAATAGCAAATCGACAGAAACAGAAAGTAGATTAGCAGTTGCCAGGGCTAGATAGGAGGAGGGAAGCAGAGTGATTGCTACTAAGGGGTTTCTTTTTGAAAGACAAAGATAATCTAAAATTAGATAGCAGTGATGGTTGCATATTCTGTGATATATTTAAAAACTACTGATATATACTTTAAAAGGCTGAGTTACTATGTGAATTATATCTCAATAAACAAATTATAAATGAATGTATGAATCCATCTTCTTTTCTGCAATTGATTTTAACTTTAAGTTTTTTTTTTAAGATTTTATTTATTTATTCATGAGAGACACAGAGACGGAGGGAGAGAGAGAGAGAGGGAGAGAGGCAGAGACACAGGCAAAGGGAGAAGCAGGCTCCACACAGGGAACCTGACGTAGGACTCGATCCCGGGTCTCCAGGATCAGGCCCTGGGCCAAAGGCAGCGCTAAACCACTGAGCCTCCTGGGCTGCCCTAAACTTTAAGATTTTTAAGAATGAACTATTATCAATGACATTTAATTTAGACAGGAAATCTGCTTATTTTTACTTTTTTAGGGTCATAAGTAATTTTTTTTGGACAGAAAAAAACTTTCCTTCTTTATCAGAAATAAAAAGTGTAACAACTAATAGAATGAAATGCTCTACAGTATTCCAATTTCCTGCATAAACAGCTAACTTCAGATGATGCGGCCTCAAGGCACAAATAACATAAAGATCCCTTTATTGCTAACTAAAGGGATCACTAACACTCCCTATTGAACAATCTAGTTGGGCATGTGTGCCTGCAAAATAAGAAAAGAGCAAAGCAGGAGACTTTTTATTCTCTGTTTCAAGGTATTTTACCACTACAACACTGTCCCTCTACTAGACTGAAAGATTATCCCTTCCTGAGTTGCAAAACTGAACTAAGTAAACAGCTCCAGCTAGAATTTGAGTCAAAACCACCATATACCTGTGCACTGGAAAGACACTTCAGGTTATTACTAATGTCAATATTCACCTTCACATCTGCCCATTTGCCAGTTATAATCATGATTTTCAGTCTAGACATTTTTAGGAGGCTTTTGCCTCAAGTCACTTGCAAAACATAGTACACGACAGGCAAGGTGTGTGCTGTACGACTCCAGGGGGAGCCCTTTACACTACCTGTGATATGACTGGCACCCCTGTTGCTTTCACCAAGCAGGGCTCAACTGCTTAAAAGTTCCACAACTGGAGGGGCATAAGAAAAAGAACTAGAAGTAGTTCCTTAATCAAAGGAGAGCTCTTATGCTTATTTTTATAGTAATTTATCATAAATGCACAAACTAGTCTTTTGAGTTGACATACCTCATCCTTCAGCTGATTCCTATTTGTTTCATGACGCTGATATTCCGTTCTACATTTTAAAAGTTTACGATCAGCAACAGAAATTCTTTTCTCATATTCTGTGTTATTCCCAATCTCACTCTCCAAAAACTTGATCTTTTCTTTAACCAAATTTTCTTTTTCTCTGAATTCCTGCTTTATCCTTGCTAATGCCTGAGATTAAAAAATATGTTAAGTATGTTTAATACGATGAACAAAACAAACTAAAAGAAATTTAGCTTTTATTTTTCTATTATTATATTCAGTATTTTATCAAAACTTCTTAACACAATTTTTTTAAAGAGAGTCTACTTTGGGGGCACATGGGTGGCTCAGTCATTTCAGCTTCTGACTCTTGATCTCAGCTCAGGTCTTGATCTCAGGGTAATGAGTTCAAAGCCCTGCACTGTGTTCTACACTGGGCATAGAGCCTACTTTAAAAAAAAAAGTCTACTTTTATATGAATAAAAACAAAATATTAATATGCTATACATCAGTATCTATAAGCTCACATTTTTAAAGATCTCATTTTCTTTCTTATGTACTTTGCTAAAGAAATGAGGAAAATGTCAAGCTTTTATATACAAAAGGTGATATCTTAAAAAATATAATTGTTGAATATTTTTACATAGAAAGTTGGATTTTTTTGATATTTATGTATCAGCCTTAAAGTTTTTTATTTTTATTTACTTTTTTTTAGCCTTAAAGTTTTTTAATGTGCTATATATGCTTTATTTTGAACATACTATATTAGTTATAATAAAACATGTATGTAATTAACCGATAAAGGTGTACACCGGTGGATAAGTGCTCAAAATTTTTTAGCAATGGACTGCATGATTAAAAAGGTTTGAAGATACTGTTCTAATGAGCATATTATCTTTTGTAGGTCACAGACATGCAGGAGTGAATTAAAAGATATAAGCAAAATTGGCACCTTTTTAAGTAGTAAAAAAAAAAAAAAAAAAAAAAAAAAGATGTTTTGCAACCCAGAGAAGACCTTGCCATAAAGATGATTTTACTACTCCACAAATCTAGTGTCTCTAAGAGGCAGAAAATGCCTGCTTTGCCAGGAGCACAAATAGTTTGGGATCAGTTTAATTACTGGTCTGTCTTTGATCTATTCCTTTCAGTTTACAGTTGCTTATTAACTTTAACGGGGAGCCGCATGCTAAAGAGAGACTATGCCTGGTGAAAATCAATGATTGATTTTTTTCCAAATATTTCACAGTACCAGGTTTTTTTCATCTTTGTAGAATAATATTTTAGTTATTGGCTTCAATAGGAATGCCTTCACTCACACCTTTTTCCAGTCTTGGGAACAAAAAATAAATAGAATATATAAAGTAGTAACTGAGATATGGACAAAGCACCGTGGGAACAAAGAGATGATGAAGTCTACCCAAGAGGAATTATTAAAAGGCATTACTTAAGAGGCTTTTTAAATTAGGCCTAAAAAGATAAATGGAGATGTATAAATATTCCAATGTGGTTAAAGTATAGGGTAGGAGGGTAGGGATGGAATGATGACATATTAAGAAAGGGTGGGTACAAACGAAAGGAATGAGGGTGGAAAGTTAGAAATTAGGGCCCAATTGTAAAGAAATTCAATTTTTCAACTGCCATGTTAAAGAGGTTCAATTTTTAAGCAATGGGGAACAAAGAAGATTTTAGAGATGAGGAATAAAAGGTCAATGTGGTTTTTACAAGTGATGTTGATGGCAACATGTTAGAGGAATTGGAGGGAAAAGGAAAATTTACTCTTAAAATGTATTTCCAAAATGGGGTCTGCCAAACAACTAATCCTAGAATATAGGGTTAGGGGAAGGTATGTGTTCTGAAATGAGTAAGTTTTGGAAATGCTGCATGTACTTTTATACATACTAGCATATTAAATGTATATATATCTGAAACATACTACATTTATTTTTTTAAGATTTTATTTATTTATTTGAGAGAGAGAAAGCATGAGCAGAATGGGGGTGCCAAGGGTAGAGGGGCAGAGGGAGAAGGCCAAGCAGCCTACCCACTGAGCAGGGAGCCCGACATGGGGCTCAAGCCTAAGGACCCTGGGATCATGATCCAGGTTGAAGGCAGACACTTAACTGACTGAGCCACCCAGGTATCCCTGAAATGCACTACATTTAAAAAAGCATTTTAAATTTACTTAATCTAGTATTCCCATATGTTCTCTATAACATTAACATTTTATAATGTAGTATTCCATATATCTACTATGTTAATTCAATCAAGACAAGTCAAAACATATATGCAAATGATCATTCTAGAATTTTCTGCCTTATATCAATTTTTCTACCACTTACTCAAATACCTGAATACCTACTTCAAGATTCATATTTTTTAACAGTGTTATCTATTCACAGTTAGGTTTTGTAGGTGATGCTGATAAGTACAGTAACATCCCAAAATTTCTACACTGGAAAAAAAGCATAATAGAAAAATATTTTTTCCTTTTTTATATAATGTAAAAATGTCTTTTAGGAAGACAATTTCAGGTTCATATGCTCAGACTCCTGCCAAGAAGACATTAAGAAGGCAGGAACTGTTTTAGAGGAAAAGGAACAAAAGATTAAATCCTCTAGTGGCATGAACTGGATCTCACTGGCTCACTGCCTGAAACGTCTCTCAACTCTGTGTTGAGAGTAGTCATGTTGGTATAGAAGTAGTTTCATCACAGAAATCAGAATGCTACAAATTGGGAGCTAGTTGCTAAACACGTAGAAGCATACCACTACCTCTGGAGCCAGTTCTTAGCACCCTCCCTATTCTCTTGCAATAAAAACAACCAGGAGATGTCAATAAGGAACCATCGTGAATATGAACAGAGAGCTACAAGTTGTACTTTCTTCTAAGTCAGCAGGCTGAGTCCATTTAGCTGTGGAGTTGTATGAGAATACACTTGTGGATCCACACTCTTGGATCTGTCACATTTGATTGACAGAGGAAGCAGCCAGGACTTGATATCTGAAACTGAGATCAGCATCAAGAATTAAGAGGAACTCATACTTAAGACTGGTTCTCCCTTGTCCCTCCAAGGAAGGCACAGGCAGTTTTGTTGATAAAATGTTGGTTGCTTACAAAAATTTACAATAAAAGAATAATATACCTACATATAAGTCACATATAGCAAGCAAACCTCATACAGATATGAGAATTCCAAGCTCCCAATGACCTACACTGCTTGCCTTTCCAGGAAGTAGTCCCAGAATGAAGTTAACACATCTTCTCACCTGTCTTCTTTCCTTCTCAATTCCTTTTCCTTCTCAACTTTCCCTAAACTTCCCATTTTTGCTCACCACCATTTTGCCCCTTAATGATTTTCAAAAAAATTTCTCCTAAATTACCTCTGAAAGTAGCAAAAGATAACACAAGGTCCATGTTTAATCAGTGTGGTATCCTTCCCTTCCAAGCGTCTACCCTATTATGGGTGCCTTGGTTACAAAAGTGAAACTTTATCATAGTCTAGGTTTCTTTCCTGACTCTCCCTTTTTGTGTTTTGGCTATCTATGAGGTTCATTTCCCTATGCCAGTAATTACTATTGAATAGCACATCTGTTAAATCCAAAGCACCTTGGACAACCAGGTGTAAGTCAGAGCATTGGTTTTACCACACTGATATTATCTACTGACTTTCTCTTATTCTACCATTTGGAGATGGCAGGATCTAGTCTTCAGCATTATAATACCACAAGCAAATAATATTCAGAAAATCACATATCTAAATGGAAACAGTCAGCTTTGAAAAACATTTACCAAAACTATACAAAAATGATTTTCAAATAACAATGTGAGTTACACTTGAAATGAATGAATTAAAAACAAAAGAGAATAACACAGTTGAACACTGCAAGGACCAAACAACTACTTTACCAAGGCACCGTTATCGATGTCTCGATCTCTCTTCCGCATCTGCTCTATGGTGTTCTCCCACTGTTTAATGAGTTCTTGTCTTTCATTATGAATCTTACGAAAATCCTGTGCTGCCTTATCCAATTCTAACTGTCAGATAGAGAACAAATAATGTTTTTGTGAATTTAAGTGCTTTTGCATACATCCCTTTGACAAAGAAATAAAAATCTTCACTAACTAACCTGTGCACTTAGAGTCTCTGTAAGTTCATTGTCAAGTACCTTTCTTCTCTGATTACATTCCAAAGTCAGTCTTTCTAATTGCAGGGTCAGTGCCTATGATGAAGTTGCATGTAAAAATATGCATCATTATCATTTAACTTAAAAACTATTAGCATATCTCACACTAAGTATTATATTATAGATACATACTTATTTGCTATCTAAAACAACTACCAAATAATATGTACATTATCTTTTAACCCCAAAGGGCTGCAATGAAAACTCAATTGCTTCTAAAAAGAATTGTTACTAAAAAAAAAAAAAAAAAGAATTTTTACTTACTTACATTTTAAAGTAAGTTCAAAAAAATTATACAATACTTCACCATTTAAAATTATTTAAAATAATTCATTTGGTATTAAATCTATTAGAAAATAGCATGTTTCATAATACTAAAGTATTAACACATTTATTTTCAAGTAGATTTTAAGTAATGGTTATAACAATATGTTAAAATAACAGCACTATAGTCTCAAATCAACAAACACTGCATGTTGCATTCAAACTATCATTAGACAAAAGAAGTTAAAATACTTATATTCTGTATAAAACTTTCTTCTCTGAAATGCTTCTGAAAACTCTTTTCATTCAGGATTTTTAACCTGGAGTCTGCGAATCCCTAAATGGTCAGAGGATTTCAGAGGATCTATAAAACTTTCAGCAAAATTTTGTATTTGAGTATAGTCATTTTTCTAAAGAGAGAATCCTTAGCTTTATTAGATTGTCAGAGGAGTCTTTGATCCAAAAGACTGTAAGAACTATGGCTTTCAAATTACAAACCTAATAATTTAAGTAAAAAGGTTCACATACTACACATTCAAAGATAACCTAAGATTGCAATTTATAATTTCTCACCCTAATTTTATTATCATCTTGCTGTGCATACTTCTGAAGAGTGAGGGCATCACTATCTTTATGAGCTGATTCTTCTAGCCAGGCTTCTAGTGCTTGCTGGTCCCAGTTTATTTGACATTTCAAACCATCCAATTTTTGAGTAGTTTTAAATATGTTATTCTAATTTCCAAAGAAAGGGGGCAGGGAGAGATTACAAAATATTATTTACTACACAAACTAAAATAAAATATAAACATACTATAGGACATATTAAAAACGAAAGAAGAAATCCTGTCCCTGTCCCAACTTCCAGATATCTATAATATACCATATTTAATTATTTAACTAACATTCTTATATTCTTATATTTATATTATAATTATAATATTCTTATATTCTTTAATTGTAAAATAGAGTGGAGACAATTATATAAAGTTGAGAATAGTAGTTGAGTCAAAGGTTGCTTAAAAAGGCTTTAGGGAAAGTCCTTCAGAGCAATATCTAATACACTCCACCAAATTCATCCCAAGTGGATATACAACCTTAGTGAAAATAATGTGCTTGATATGCTAACCCAAGCCCAAGCCATGTCTCCTTTTCCAATCAGATTCTTGCCTCTAGCAGACCTCTTAGACGGAAATTTTGGAAGTACTTCTAATCGAAATAAATATAGTTGTTTAGGAGATAAAAATATTTCTGTAAATGAATAAGCCACTCAGAGAAAGACAAATACCATATGATTTCCCTCATATGTGGAATTTAAGAAAATAAAACAGATGAACATAGGGGAAGGGAAGGAAAAATAAAATAAGATGAAAATTCAGATGGAGGCAAACCACAAGAGACACTAAGCTCTAGGAAACAGTTGCTGGAAGGGAGGTGGGTGGTGGGGAGGGATAATTGGGTGATGGGCATGAAGGAGGGCATGTGCTGTAATGAGCACTGGGTGTTACATGCCACTGATGAATCATTAAATTCTACTTCTGAAACTAATAAAAAAAATTCTGTAAATATATTCATTTAACAAATCTAGAGTCCTATAAGAAAACAGATCAATATGCAAATACAAATTAATACAATAAAATATGTATGTGTGTATACATATGCATATATGCATTTCTACATGTATATGCATATGTAAAGAGATGAATCAAATTTGGAAAGAGCTCCCAAATCAGGCAACTAAGGAAAGGAGAAAAAGAGGTTACAGGAGCTTAATATTAGAGTCACAGTCTGATATATTAATATGAAAGGTAAAAATTTTGAATGAAAAATGAAACTCAACATTAAAAGTAATTTTTTAAATGTGGCCTTTTAAAAAGATATGAATAAATTATGCCTACTATCTTATGATACTAATGAATAAATTATGCTTAATATCACATAATAGACAGCCAGTATGGTACTCTGCACATGGTTTGGCTCAATTACTATTTGGTAAATGAATAATGGGGAAAAAAATGTAATATTCTATTACTTCATTCAAACAACAATTCTGTGTGCACTTCATTGTCCAAAAAACAATGTAAGTATATGTCAGGAAACTAATGAATGTCTTTCTCATATAGAAAAAAAAAAATTAGTGGGTGTTTGGGGGTGAGGGAAAAAAGAACGATAGCACAAAATTTTAAGTAACATTTCAATACATACTTCCTTATCACTTTTCTTTTCCCGTATTGAAGTCATTTCATTTTCCAGTCGTTGGATTTCATCCTTTATTCGTCCCAGTTCTCTCTCAGCAATGATCTTAAAATGCTCTTCACTTTCAATCTCATGTTCCCTGGCTTTACAAAGAGACTACAGAATAATTTACAAGATAGACTTTTTAATTTTTAATATTATAAAAGATTTATAATAATCCATTAGCCCCCAAAAATTTCCACAAAATACTTAGATTAATTCCATTTCTCTGAAACCTAAGCCATGTTACACTTTGTGATTCAGTGTAGTTCGTTTTGCTCAATAGTTTTAAGAAAGTCAGTTTATGGAATGACCTAGGAGAAAATATTGTTGTTAGCAGTTTTCAGATATCATGTTGGTCCAGGGAAACTGCAGAAAACTAAAGTTTAAAATGGTAAGACTTAAAAAGATATAACTCATTACCTATCTAAAAAATAAGAAATAAAATGTATTTAAAAATACTTGGAGAGGGGCAACCTGGGTGGCTCAGCGGTTTAGCACTGCCTTTGGCCCAGGGTGTGATCCTGGAGACCGGGATCGAGTCCCCCATTGGGCTCCCTGCATGGAGCCTACTTCTCTGTGTCTCTGCCTCTCTGTGTCTCTCATGAATAAATAAAAAAATCTAATAATTAATTAATTAATTAATTAATAAATAAAAATATTTGGGGAAATGGGATGTTTCTATAAACTCATTACATATTCTAATTAAGAGATAATTTATAAATGATTATGTAAACAGTGATGGTTATAAATATTTCCCTGAATATACTAATAAACCATCATGCCTGGGTGGCTCAGCAGTTGAGCATCTGCCTTTGGCTGGGGGCGTGGTCCCAGGGTCCTGAGATTGAGTCCCACATTAGGCTCCCTGCATGGAGCCTGCTTCTCCCTCTGCCTATGTCTCTGCTTCCTCTCTCTGTGTTTCTCATGAAAAAATAAATAAATTATTTTTAAAAATAAAAATAAAAAATAAACCATCATGCCTTTGTGTTAAGTTTTACTTAATAAAATAGTATTTGTTGGCTGTTGAGTTTGTAGTGATTCAAAGTTATCATCATCAGTATTATTTCTAATTATTAGAGCTCTTAGTGCTATAGGAAGTTTATTGTCTTTTGTATCTATTATATGATTTATTTTTTAAGACTTTATTTATTTATTATTAGAGACACAGATAGAGAGGCAGAGGGAGAAGCAGGCTCCCCACAGGGAGCCTGATGCAGGACTCAATCCCAGGACCCCAGGATCACAACCTGAATCAAAGGCTCAACTACTGAGCCACCCAAGCATCCCTCTATTATCTGATTTAATTGAGGTTTGACTATAATGAAATATACATATAGAGAGTGTCTGACTTTCAAATCCCCAATTCAGTGATTTAATAACTTCAAAAAAGGATGTTTCAATCATATCAGGATTCAAAAATCTCAAGTATTACTTTTAAAAGTTCATTAAATTTGTAGCTTCCTAATAAGACTTGTACACAATGAAATAGCTACTTATCTGTATTAATTATTAATCGGTATTAAAAACATGCTTGGTTCACTTTTAAGAATTATATACCTTTCAAAGAAAGGTAGATGCATTTTTTAAAAAATAGTCCGAAATGGAAGTTAGTAAACTCTCCAGTGCTGATTTGCTGAGCTGATTTGCTGGGCATCATTAGGAATGATGTTCTATACATACATAGACTATCCATAAATCAGAAGCTTATGTCTAAAATGGATTATACTTTCCCTGGTTATCTTTTTTTTTCCAAAGATTTTATTGATTTATTCATGAGAGATATATATAGAGAGAGAGGCAGAGGGAAAAGCAGGCTCCACGCAGATTGCCCAACGTGGGACTGGATCCCAGGTCTTCAGGATCACACCCTGGCCTGAAGGCGGCGCTAAACCACTGGGCCACCGGGCTGCCCGTTCCGTTTATTATCTTAAATAATATCCTAAGTATACTCTAACTTTTCCATTATCTCAGGATCCTAAAATAACATGGAGCCCGTAGGGCTTCTGAAGTGTATAAACTATTTGCCTCCACTCAAAAAGGCCCAGTGGGTTGCAATGAAAAAGTAAAAAAGAGGCAGAAATTCTATCATATGTTATATTAGGTCTATTTTGGCTTAAAATCATTTCTCACTGCCATCACTAAACCCTTCTCATATAATCTGATGCCTAATATTACTAGACTGTTTGAATGATTTCTTCTTTCAAATGAATTAGTTTTTCCTGAACTTGGTGGCAGTAGTGAGTTCCTCAAAGCCTTTTTTTTTTTTTTAACCTACTTTTAGGTTCAAGGTTATGTTAATAATAGTTCAGCTATGCTGAAGTTTCCTGTTGTATCTCTAAAATAAAATCACAAAAAATAAATAAATAAAATAAAATAAAATCACAGATATAAATGCAGTATGAAATGTTCCATGACTACATATGGCATAATCAATATGAATATCAATATTACTGTACCTGTGTAAATGAAAATTCTTGCTTAACATTTTTAAAGTGAGAAGTCATAGCATTAATTCGATCTTCATAGTCACGAAGCTGATCTTGCAAACTTGCTCTTTCCTCCTGCAGCTTTGACAACTGTAATTAATATATATGATAATTTAGAGATTACTGTGGGAAAATTAGCACTATATTAAGACAATAGAAATCTCTCAGATTTCTCAGAAATCGCTCAGGGACCACTGCTAAAATGCAATTTTCATACAGTAGTACTTAAAGGGAAAAAATGAGATTTTATTGCATGATTAAACCACAAGATCTCTAGAGCAAACAAAACCATAGTAACAGATATAACAAAAACACAGAAAATAAACCATAAATCTGAAAAGTAGTGGCACACCAGGTATAATAGCTCCTCCCTGAACTCCTATGCAAAACCAACAGATTTAGGGCAAGCTGAACAGTACAACTAACTCTCACATGCTTAGACCCTATTTCTTAATGTATTTTGTGTGTTACTGAATTAGAACCCTGAGTAGAAACAAAACAATGCAATTAAAAAACAAACAAAAAAACTTTAGGAAATTACAAGATGGAGTCTCAGGACAATTAAGATATGTCACCCCTCAAAGTAATATGAAAGCTCAAAAAAACAAAAATATCTTTTCTTACGCTCTTGATCTGTGGTTCTCAAAGTTGAGGCTACAACCCAGGAGGTATACAACAAAATCCAATGAAGTACAAAAGACAACATTTGAATTTTTAAATAAGGAAGAAAGAAAATAAATAAGTTATGTCCTATATTTTATTAAACAAAGTAATATTAAATATGTATTTTTGCTTTTTATTTCATTAATTTCAGTTTTACTTTTAATATTCTATTTTGTTTATTTTGCTGTTCTTTTAAAATTTATTAAGAGCAGTTCTTAATTTCTTTACTTTTGTCACATTGATTGCTATGGGCTAAATGTCTGTGTCACCCTCAAATTCATATGTTGAGGCCTTTACTCACAGTGTGAGGGTATCTGGAAGGTAAGTCTTTGGGAGGTAAGTAGGTTTAAATTAGGACCTGAAGGTAGGACCCTCATGATGGAATTAGAGTCCTTATAAGAAGAGAGACCAGAGCTTCCTTTCTCTCTGCCACATGAAAACAAACTGAGAAGGCAGCCATGGACAGGCCAGGAAGAAGGCTCTCACTAGAACCCAACCATGCTGTCACCCTGATCTCAACTTCTAGCCTTCAGAACCTTGAAAAATAAATGTCTGTTTTTTAATTCACTCAATCTATGGCTTTTGTTACAGCAACCCAAGCCAACTAAGACACTGATCTAAAAATGAAGGCATTTAAGGCTATAAGTTTTGTCTAAGTAAGATTTTTTATATTTCCAATTAATGTAGGTGTGAAGCACTCTTATTTTATTGTTTTCTAGAAGCTGACTTTTTTCCCTTTCAATTTCTCCATGATAGAAGAGCTATCAGGAATATATATCTGAGAAATTGGCCTAAGTATTTAAAATGGATGTCTTAGCTCAGTTTGCCATAACAAAATATCATAGACTGGGGGACTTAAAGACCAGGAATTTATTTCTCAGAGTTCTGGGAGTTGGGAAGTCCAGGACTGAGGTGCTAGCCAATTTGGTTCTGGTGAAATATCTCCTCCTGACTTACAGATAGTGCCTTCTAGCTGCATATTCAAATGGTGGAGAGACAGTTCTGATCGCTCTTCCACTTCATATAAAGATACTAATCCCATCATGGAGCCACAGTCTCATGACCTCATCTAAACCTAATTACTCCCCAAACGCCCCACTGCCAAATACCATCACAATGGAGATTAGGGATTCACTATACGAATGGGGAGGGGACATCAGTCCATAACAATGGAGGATAACTTTTAAGTTATTTATTACAAATGCTACTGGCCTACGATTAGAGAATGTGGCCTATAAAGTTCCTCCCACTCATTTCTTTAATTGCAGTAAAATATTCATAACCTACTTTTTACCAAATAATGTTTTTCAGTATATATTAAAGTTGTATATTCAGTGTATATTAAAGAGTGTCATTTAGTATATTCACGTGTTGTGCAACCATTGCCACCATCCACCTGAAAATTTTCATCTTTCCAAACTTAAACTCTGTGCCCATTAAACCCTAATTCCCCATTCCTCTTCCCCATAGCCCCTGGAAATCACCATTCTACTTGTATCTCTGAATCTGACTACTCTAGGTACATCAGATAAGTGGAACCATACAGTATTTTCTGTCTACCTTATTTCACTTCATATGACTTTAAGGTTTATCATTTACTTTTAATGTATTACAGATTTTGTTCTGGTATAGTAAATGATCTGCTTTTGTAATGTTTTATGGACATATTCTTTAAAGTATTTATTTAAGGGATATATATGCTCTCTGTGTTTATTTTTATTGCATTATTCATAGTTCAATATCCTTACTTTTGTCTATTAGGATTGTCCAATTCTCAGGAGGCCAATATGGTAGTATCCTATTACAACTGTATTTTTTTGTCAAAGTCTACTTGTATTTATAGTAGTTTTTACTTTTATGTATTTAGTTATTGTGTTGTTTGGAGCATACAGTTTTATAACTTTTATTTTCCTCATCAGTTATAACTTTTATGATTGCATAATGAACAAAAGCATCTGCTTTTTTTAATGAAAGCATAATGATTAACCCTCCACAAGTTGATGATTCCTTCACTACAGAATTCCCAGACAATACTGTTTGCCTCTTTTAAATATAAAAGGTCATGCAAGGACCACTAGAATATTTATTGAAAACTTACATCATGTGAAGGATATCAAGATAAACAAAAAGATCCCAAAGGGAACATAATTCAAGACACAAAGAAGACCTAATACACACACACACACACACACACACACACACACACACACGTGCGCAGGCATATACACTCAGCAAGACTGTAAACAATACTGTACTCCTAAAACAAGACCATGTGCTACAAAAAAAACCAAGCAAATAAACTGAAAATTTTAAAATATGATTGATAGAGTTGCCCAAATAAAAACCACAATATAAAAATGACACAAAATCCTAAAAGCTTCCAGAGATTAAAATTATAACCTACAAAGAAATGGAAAACATTCTAATATCAGATTACTCACCAACATCACTACTAGAAGATAGTACTTTCCAAATTCTGTAGGAAAAAAACATTTTTAACCCAGAATATTCTACCCATTCAAAACCATCAAATGTGAAATTAAATAAAGTACATTTTCAGATTTGGAGTTTACTTCCTATCACACTCCTCTTAGGGACACACAAAAAAGTATTCCATCAAAATAAGGAAATAACCCAAGAAAGAAGATATGTGATCTAGGAAACAGAGCATCAATCCGGTAAAGGAATAAAAGGAATTCTCAAGTTAACAGTTGGAACATGGGCCTGTTGAAAAACTAGTCCCTATTAAAAAACACAGGTCTCTAAAAGGAAGGAGTAGAGGAAGAAAGAAAGGATCTTGAAGATCTGAAACTATGATTTGAAGAATATAAACTTAAAGCAGGCAATACAAGAAATCAATTGGCAACCAAGGATGCAAGGAATTAAAATCACAGCACTATAGATCTTTCCTGAAACAATATTTAAGGATAGGACCCATTAAAGTGAAAACTCCAAGAAAAGGTAAACTGAGTGAAAGTGGCTGCATTAAGGACCATTAAATCAATTTATTTTTTTTAAGAATAAATCACTTTTTTTTTTTAAATTCGAGAGGCCAAATTTAAGAGAGAGACGCAGAGAAAGAGAGGCAGAGATACAGGCAGAGGGAGAAGCAGGTTTCATGCAGGGAGCCTGACATGGGACTTGATCCCTGAACCCCAAGATCACTCCCTGAGCCAAAGGCAGATGCTCAACCGCTGCACCACCCAGGCGTCCCCATTAAATCAATTTAAATATAAAACTAAGACTAAACACTTGTAGTAAATTAAGGACATTGAATAGAATGAAAACAAAATAAACCTTGATAATATAAAAATAATAAAACCACTATTTTTAATGGGGTAAAAGATGGTGGAAAGAAGTGTGACAACTAATTTGTTTGTCTTACAAATGAAAAACGAAAGAGTAGGGAGTCAATCCATACCGTCAACAAATGAAACAAGGCATTTTTTTAAACAATAATTTAACCATTTCATTTTTTCTTAGTTTTTCCTAATGTTAAGATAATTTTAGCAATCACTATCTGTTGTAATTGAGTAATATGTACCTGCAATTCAACAATCCCTTTCTTTTTAAGTAAAATTATTTTTATTAATTAAAATTTTTTATGTTTTTTTTTTAATTTTTATTTATTTACGATAGTCACACAGAGAGAGGCAGAGACATAGGCAGAGGGAGTAGCAGGCTCCATGCACCGGGAGCCCGACGTGGGATTCAATCCTGGGTCTCCAGGATCGCGCCCTGGGCCAAAGCCAGCGGCCAAACTGCTGCGCCACCCTGGGATCCCAAACTTTTATGTTAAAAACAGCACGGATAGTAGGATTCCATTCTTATAACACTTGTTTGTCTTTTCTATCTCTGTATCTGTTGACCATGATGTCTGGAATATTTATTTAATGCCATGATAGTCACACTCCTATAGTCAAGAGTAGGTATTTTGAAGAGGGAACACTCTATTTATTATTTTATATCCTTCTGTTCTGTTTGAATAGCTTAAACGTACCAGAATTGCTTTTTTAACGCCATTTTTTCTTCAAGTGAGGTAATTATGACCCTCACTCTTATTTTTATTGCTCCGTAATTTTTTAAATAGCTAATATAATTTATATGCATAGAAAAGTCTACAAATGTTATGGCAAGAATACCAAAAACTAACATCTTAATGGAAGTTTATCCTGCATTAATGTCCTTACAGCTATATAACAATCCCGTGAAATAGTTATTTTATTTATTTCCAGTTCATAGAAGAAGAAACATGATCACTGCTGGTAATTAGGCTCTGAACCCAGGGCTGGATACTTAATATTATTATTCCTCAGTACTCAGTGCTAAATCTCTTATATTCCCTAATGTTGCCCTTCATTAAAACAAACAAAAAACTGCAGCCCTCTAATTTAGACATGAGTAAATACATCCGAGTATTTTGGGGGGAAAAAAAATCTTCAAAAAACAGTGAAGGATTTTCATTTTCATTTTTCAGAGAAAAGAAAACCTTCTCTTAGGACAAACATTACATGTTCTCATTCATTTGGGGAATATAAATAATAGTGAAAGGGAATAGAGGGGAAGGGTGAAGAAATGGGTAGGAAATATCAGAAAGGGAGACAGAACATGGAAGACTCCTAACTCTGGGAAACGAACTAGGGGTGATGGAAGGGGAGGAGGGCGGGGGGTGGGGGTGACTGGGTGACGGGCACTGAGGGGGACACTTGACGGGGTGAGCACTGGGTGTTATTCTGTATGTTGGCAAATTGAACACCAATAAAAAATTTATTATTAAAAAAATAAATAAATAAAATAAATAAATAAAAATAAAAATTAGTGAAAGGGAATAAAGGGTAAAGGAGAAAAAATGAGTGGGAAATATCAGAAAAGGAGACAGAACATGAAAGACTCCTAACTCTGGGAAACGAATTAGGAGTGGTGGAAGGGGAGGTGGGCGGGGGGTAGGAGTGACTGGGTGACCGGCACTGGGGTGGGCACTTGACGGGATGAGCACTGGGTGTTATTCTACATGCTGGCAAATTGAACACCAATAAAAGATAAATTTATTTTTAAAAAAAAAAAGAAAACCTTCTCTTCCATTCCGTAAAGTAATGTAAACATCGGTCCCCCTTGCACCCGCTTCTAACACAACGCATTGCCACGTGATGGAACTTTACACTGACTCTTCAAGGTTTTTAAGAGTTTTCTGAACCGGATGCAATTTTATTTTTAACAACCATTATGTACTGGTTGCAAGCTGATGTGAAGTATGCCTTACTCCGAAAAATATTTTCTGTCACTCTGTGACAAGAGTCTCACTTTGAGAAGCTGCACGCTGCACATTTTGCATTCTTACTAGAACGTTCCTCTTGAACATATATATTTCTTCGGGTCACTTTCAACTTTAAATGTCCCAGGCAGAAACTCAAAAAAGAAATGTCAACCAGAACGTATTGGTTTATGAACAACCGCAAACAACTGTTGCTACGAAAAAGAATAAACTGAGATTAAATAAAGTACATTTCCAGATGTACTTTGCAAGCCGCGCGGAATTCTGGAGAAGGAAAAAAACCAGACGCGGGAAGCAGCCCCTCCTCTCCTGCCCAGGAGGCTGGAAATAGGCAACACGGAGCCGGAGAGGCGGAGAGAGCAACGCCTCGGGCTTTCTAGTCCTGAATATTAATTATCGGTTCAATTTATATTTTGTGATGCTTAGCAGGTACCGAAAAGGGCAGGCGGGTGAGGGCGAAGGGATGAAACTGGGGGAAGGAAAGGGGAGGGATAAAAGCGTCAGGGTATTCCCGCCAAGCAGAAAGCTTCCCCCTCTTTGCCTCGCCTTCTTCACCTGACCCTTACCTGATCTTCCAGCATCTTGTTCTCCTCATTTGCCACCGGGATGGCAAACCCATCGTCCCAGTGCAGCTCCTCCAAGAACTCGCTACTCATGTCGGCAAACGGATCGGGGACCTCTGACAGGCTGCGGAGGAAAGATCCGCGCGTCGGGGGAGCCCGGGAGCTGCACGCGAGGGGACCCCCCGCGCCCGCAAAGCTCCGCAGGACCGACCACCGCAGCCCTAGCAACCGCCCCGCGCCCTTAGTTACCAAACAGGAAGTGCTCCGGCCGAGAGGCAAAACTTCCGGCTGAGAACTTCGAGGCCCGACCCGGAGCTCCCAGGGGAGCGGAGCGCTCGACTCCAGAGGCGCGCTGGGGTAGCCGGGCGCCCGCAGAAATCCCCCTTAACTTCCGGCCCGGGCGGGTACCCGCGGGCGCTGCGGAGGGTAGAGTCGCTGGCGCCTGCCGCCTCCGGGACCGCGGGGCGCGGGGACCGCGGGGCGAGGGGACCGCGGGGCGAGGCAGCCGCCGCCTCGCGCGCAGACGCGGGCGCGAACGAACACAGCGAACCCGACTTTGTTCTCAAGTGGTGTTGGCTGAGTTTCATCCGTGGATGAAATCTCAGAGGCCGAGAGACCGGCCTCATTTGGAAGCGGAGTCCATCCCTTAGGATCCCTGTGTGCTTTGATCTTCGTTCTCCCCTCCTGGCCTTCCTCCCACTGCTCACCTGCCCGCCGCGGCGCAGCCCGCCCGCCCGCGCCGCGCCTGCACCTTTATCTCTCGTTACCTTTCCATCGGTTGACGTTCACAAATCTGTTTTCACATTAAAATCTGTATTTCTTCCTAATCTCGGAAGAAGGAAGAGCCGAGCCCACGTTATCACCAAGGCAGAACTGGGCTGAAGAGGCGCCCCCTTTAGTCCGGCAAGCACTTCACCGAGCCAGTAATGCGATTCACCTGCTTGGCCCGTGATAGGCACTGGAGTTCACAGCCTCTGTTCTGTAGCATCTGAGAACTGGAAAGAATAAAACAGTCTAATACTTTCATATTCCAGATTAAAAAAAAATAAAATAAAACAATCTAAGACTTTCATATTCCAGATTAAAAAAATAAAATAAAACAATCTAAGACTTTCATATTCCAGATTAAAAAAATAAAATAAAACAATCTAATACTTTCATATTCCAGATTAAAAAAAAAAAAAAACCTTGAGGCTTCCTGGGGTGAAGCGATTAAAGTCAACAGGACCTAGGGAGCCTGGGTGGTTCAGGGGTTAAGCACCTGCCTTCAGCTCAGGTCACGTTCCTGGGCTCCCTGCGGAGCGAGGAGTGGGCTTCACCCTCTCTCTCTGCCCCTCCCCCTGCCTCTGAGCTCTCTCTCTCTCTCTCTGTCTCTCTGAAATAAATAAATAATCTTTAAAAATAAATTAAAAAATAAAGTCACCAGGACCTATACCAGGATACAGATCTCCTACTACAAACTCTGCTGTCTGCAATGAGAGGTGTTCTTGGCTGAAATACCCTCTATTACAGCAACATGAGTATAAATTTTGCTTATCCAATAAGCCTGTAGCCTTGTTTGCCCTTTCAAATTTTACTTTACCATTATTTTGTTACATTTTTTATTATAAAAAATTTATAAGAATAGAGGGGGGCAAGAGGTGGGAGAAAAGAATACAGAACAGGATGTGATGAGCACCCACGTACTCATTATCCTGATTTAACATTTATATTTTGCCACCTTCACTTCATCTATATTTTTTGCTTAAGCATTTTATTAGTAAATCGCAGACATCATGACATTTCACCTCAACTACCTGAGCATGCATCACTAATGTTTAACGTTCAGTATTCTATAACATAAATACAATATAATTATCACATCTATCAGAATTCTTGAATATCGTTTAATAACCATTTTGTATTTATATTTCTTCAATTGTCCTGAAAATGTCTTTTTACCATTGTTTTGTTACTTTTGAAATCTTGTAATTTCAAGCTTTGTCTCTTTGTGCTTATGTGATTTTCCATATAGTTAATCTTATGGACTATTTCTCTGGTCTCAAAGACTAGCTTTTTGCATTCTTTTTTTTTCTTTAAAGATTTTATTTATTTATTCATGAGAGACACAGGGAGAGAGGCAGAGACACAGGCAGAGGGAAAAGCAGGCTCCATGCAGGGAGCCCGACATGGGACTCGATCCTGGGACTCCAGGATCAGGCCCTGGGCTGAAGTCAGACTCCCAAACACTGAGCTACCCAGGGAACCTCAGCTTTTCGTATTCTTAAAAACATTTTATCTTTTATCTTCTATCACTATAGAAACATATACATGGTATATTTTACAGATGTGTTAAAGGCAACATGTGGCATATATTAGTGTGCTGAATGACATTACTCAGATGCAATAAAATTTTATTCTCAGGAATAACTTTTATACGTTTGACTATATATAGTGTATTCCATGCATCAAAGTATAATAAACACATTCCTTCACTGAAATACTGAATTTCTCTATATATATAACTACCATTTTTAGAAAGAATTTTTATGTGTGTGCCTTTATGGAATACATTAAATGCAGCACAGTGCAGTGAAACATCATTCACTGTAAATAACATTGTACTTATTCACATATACAGCATTCTTAGAACTATCTTCTATCGTGGTAGAATTAGCATAGCATTTTACTCCTCACTTCTGTGAGCCTAAATTCCCAAGGTGGTGGAGGAGAAAGAAAGCTTGTAGAGAGAATTTCAACTAATATAGAATAATGGAAATTTAGATAACCTTAAATAACCTTATAAAAGACTATCTTTTATAATAGTTTAGTCATCCTACTAGTGAAAATGTTAGTATCCAGTATATATTAAGATGGCATGTAGTTATTTATACTGGAGGTCTGTTATGGCAATGCTGCTTCCTAAAATTATGAGTGTTGTTCTGTCCGTGTGTCTTAAACATTCCTTTCTAATTTGTCATCCCCATTACTAATGTGAAAACTGAGGCAGCTGCCTCAGCCTGTGCCAATCTGTTGATCCAGCTGTGTCAGTGTTAGCAGGCGCTACCAAATGTATGACTGCAGCTGTATTTGCTCTGCACTCCTCTAGGCCCCAAGCAAATGAGAGGTCTGGCAGCCAAATCCGTGCAGAGTCCCATTCCTCATATCTCACAGACTCTATATCCTGAATTTCAGGATGACAATTACACAATGTTGAATTTTGTACAAAATGTCTGTGCATTCTCCTAATTCTACATGTCTGCCTTGAATCAATATACCTGCTTCTCCACCTCATCACCACAGCCTTCTGTATCATCCAGTTCCCATTTTTATAATTCCACTTCTAGATTATAACTCTACTTGAATTTATTCAGATCTATACTTGGAGACAGAACCCAAAGTTCTACAAGTTTTGTTGCTGACCATGAAACACTAAATTTAATCCTAAAATGCTAAGGTAGATGCTACCCTTTTACTACCTCATTCCCAAGTAGATAACTTCATCCAAATCAGGTTGTTCAGGCTAAAATATGCAGAGATTTATGGTTTTGCAAAAATAATGTGACCTTTATTTAAATAAAAAAAGAAAAAATACATATATGTATAAAGGAAAAGAAAAAGATATTCTTTGCCTCCATACCAGCCTCATTCCCAACAGGTTGTCACTGCTTGGCATGTGCCCTACCAGCATTTTTTTAACTAAAGCTAGCTAGAGAGATAGATTAATTTTTCTGAGAGAAATAGAATCACATTATAAATATTCTTTTGCAGATTTATTTTTATCACTTAACAACAGTGGCCATGTTTCCGTATCAGTACATTAGATCTTTAGTCTTTTAATGGCTGCTGAGAATTCAGTATTATACATCAATTTTAACTTTTTAAACAATGCTACAATGAACATCTTTATAATGCAATATTTCATCAAGTCTGGGATATACTTATTTTCACATCTGAATATCTCTAAACTTGGGATATGTACTTCTTCAATCAGTGGTGTTTTCATTTTGGTGAATAAAATGTAACCCTGTCCACATATGTTTCTGCATGACCTATTCTTAGAAGTAAAATTAGTGGAAAACATATTTAAGCAGTTTTATTTTGATAGATGCTACTAAATTCCTTCAAAACGAACAGAATATGGAAGTATCCTTGCATACTCTGTATATTATAAAGTAATATTTTACAACCTAAAGAGAAATATATGGTATCTTGCTTTATTGACAATTTTATAATTATGAGACTGAGCATCACATTTCTTCTGCTAACAATTTATCATATCCTAAGACAAATACCATATGATTTCATTCATATGTGGAATTTAAGAAACAAATGAACAAAGAAAAAAAGAGACAAATAAAAAAAGACTCTTAACTATAGAGAACTAACAGATGGTAACCAGAGGAGAAGTGGGTGGGAGAATGGATGAATCAGGTCAAGAGAATGAAGAATGTGCTTACCATGACAAACACGGAGTAATGTTCAGAATTGGTGAATTACTATATTGTACACCTGAAACTGATATAACACTGCACGTTAATTATACCAGAATTTTTAAAATAAAAATAAATAAATAAAATGTATCATATCCTTTGGCCATCCATCCTATTAGGTTGTCTCTTCTTTTTTAATTATAGCAATGCTTTCTATTTTATGGACAGTGTTTTTTGTGCATGTTTGTGTGTGACATGTATGTATGAACAGTATTTTTCTCCCAATCTGTTTTTTGGGGGTTTTAAAACTTTGTTTTTGGTATGTTTTGCCATACATACCTGAGAAACTGCTCTTGTTGTCATTAGTATGCTTCATAGTCCAACAGGTACATTTAGCATCAACTCACCAGATCTATAGGCTGCATTCAGTTAAGCTCTTCCTTCCCTATTTCTTCTCATGGCTTTTATGACTGTCACTTTCCCATTAACCTTCTCAATCTCATTTGTTGCTTTATCTTGTCCTGTTTGGCTTAATGCTAGTATTCCTCAAGACCCAAAGCTTGCCTCTCTTCTCTTCTTACACTTGCTTCCCAGGTGATCATATCCATTTTCATGGCTTTAAATACCAAGGATCTCTTTAAGGATCCCCCTTAGTATTTCTCTATCCCAGATCTCTCTTCTACACTCCAAACATATACCCTACTGCCTACCTGGCAGTCCCACTGAGATGAGATGCCTCAAATCTAATACAAGGTACAGGGCAGAGTTCTCAATTTCATCCCACCCATATTCCAAACCCCTTTCTCAGTCTTCCCTAGCACAGTAGAACCAAACCATATATCCAGCTGTACGAAATCAAATTCCACTTCTATTGATTC